TGAGATAGAGATAACGATCGAAGGAGCAACGTTAAATTTCTGCTCAATTATCGTGAAACATCAGGAATTTGCGAATTAACAATGCCTCAATAAGGACTCTCACCTACATGTAGTATTGTCATATAGTAAACATATATATATATGTATAATATATACAAATACATATACCATACATGTATATATTATATATACCGCATTGGAACTCAGAGTCAGGGAACCTGTTTTATGAAAAATAGTTCAAGTTAAGATTATCTGTTTCTATAAGCGCACATGAATCGATAAAAACGGGAAAGTTTCGAGTATTTCTTATTTAATGTTTGCCATAACGGGCCATTTACTATATTCGATACTAAGTAACTAGTTGTTAGTAACCGATTATAATTACTTTCGATTTTATGCCTATTAGTAACATATGTGCCCCTTAATACGACCATAAATGACACTTAGTTTACAATGTTTTGTATAATTACGTAAACAATGTTCAACCTTTATTCAATTTTCAATCAATAGCAGCGTTATCTTATGCGTTCAAATTTTCTCGCGACATTTCTACAGAATTAGAATTCGTGTGTTCGGTATTCTCAGATCAAACGTTAGCCTAGGAAACGCTTATTAAAATGAATCGCTTGCATGGGTACGATGAGTTACAGGCCAATCATGTCTCAAATTTGTCATTTTTGTTCCTAAAAGTGAATGCGTTGTTAAATGATAGACTTTTGATTTTGTATCATTTCGAGATTTTCAAAATAAAGTATCCACTAGCGTTTTAAATCAAGTTTTTCAACTGTTAATGTTATAATCTTCTTATCTAATATTTTCTTAATAGTGAAATTTTGAATTAAAATTTCATTTTACAATTTGCTCCAGAGCTCCTATTAAATTATTCCTTCACCGATCAATGAATGTTACGAATTCCGGTTTCCATGACTACAGCGGGGCGTTGCTAGGGACGCCAGCGCAAGTCTGTCATCAAAAGTCAGTTTCCCTCTCAGAAGATAATTACTCAGTGCATAATTTATCGATGAATACGCACTTCTGAGGCTATATCCGTGCTTCTGCAGGGCCTCATCAGAGAACATGCATCGAGGCATTTGGTTTTCCTGAAGGAGATCGACTCACGAGCTGAAATGGTGGGTGCAGCCAATCGTTTAATTTTTATTTTGTGTTTAAGTTTTCATAGTTTGGATTATTCTTAGATTTTTCTTTAGTTGAGCGAGCATGTTAATGCCATCCTTCGTTCTATTTTACCATTTACGGTTCTATGGTCATATCACCCGTTGAAACGTTCATAACATTTCATTCTTCGTACATTTATAATATTGATAGTAAAATCACACTCCTTCTCCTAGCCCAAAAATATCTCTGCCTTAAATGAAATTAAGCAATCAAATGCAAGTCGCTATTGAAATCATATTGATTTTTTTTTCAGGGGAATATGAGCAAACTTTTTCACGTTCATCATAGATGAAAAGTAATTAAGCAATCAATCGATTTCACAGATTTATCCCACACTCTCTTAGTGTTGAAGATTTTATATGATGATATACAAATTTGGATTCTCGGAAGCGTGTGGAGTTAATGCTACTCCAGACTTAACCGACTGCCATCGGCTGAGCGTGTGGCCTCTTAGGCCAAGAGCGACCCTGCATAGGGAATAAGAGTGCCCGGGTAATGGCTGAGAGCGACCCGCTGAGGGAATAAGATTGGCCAATATATCTTTTCTCGACCAAGGGCTGGACTCGACAGGCTATTATCCAGCTCAGGCAATCGCATGACAGGAAGCGGACCCGGGCACTTATTGCGGCCCGTAGTTCATCCCTGACGCAGTTCTTTTTAGACTACAATTAAGATACAATTAAGATCACCAATGTTGCAGCCGCGAGTTTCATTGAAAATCTGGTCGAAACAGCAAGACAACGGGTTGTTAAGAGCAGTATAAGTTTCGGTTCTGGCCTGAATTTGCCGTAACAAATTTATCACTAACTATTATTGACGACTTGGCTTAATCTTCAACATCAAATTCAACATAATTGTTAAGTAACCTTCGTGAATATGATATCAATGGCGAGATAATTAGCCTAAGTATATCGAGTGGGCGTTTGAAGCTCTTACCAAGCGATTGGTTTTGAACGTCTAGTCAATGTGCCTTTGGGTCACCAATTCTCGTGAATCGAGAATATTTGAATCGTTGAAGTAGTCTGAATGCCTGCTTCTAACAGACGAACTATGATCTTTTGAGTAAGAGAGCAATTAGTCTAAAACACTTGCAAGTAGTTTGTAAAAATTCTTTTTGTGTTTCTGGATGCGCCAGTTTGAGAACCTACGCCTACAAAACCCTCCAAAATGCACGTGTTAAAAATGCGTCGAAAAGTTGCTTTAAAAGCAAAGCTGACGGCCATAGAAGAGGGCAAGCTCAAATACCAGAAATAATGATTAATTGTGGGAAAAGTCGCATAAAGTCGTGCGCTCTACTACAAATTCTCAACTTATAATAATATGCTTAACCAAAATTCGGTTAGCGATGAAGGCGATGGGCTTTAAAACATTTCTCGCGCTTACCAATCCAGTCGATAAAGTTGGTAATCTCCATTGATTAACTTGATTAATTGGATAAATATATCATTATAGTACATCTTCGTTCAACCATGAACAGTTATTTCGTCTGGCCTTCTCTCTATTCGGTATTTCTCTGTAGTTACCATGAGCTGATTTGGCATTTTCTAACGTGAGTCTAATTTTTTCCTGCACTATAATCCAGTGTTCACTATATATGGACTATGTGGGCCCTTTTCATTCCCGCATTAACATCAACCGGAATGGGGGCAAAAATAGTTACGTTGAAAAATATCATGCCCGTGATGATATTGAGGAATAACAGATTTAACCCAACGAAAAGACAATACGGAGTAAAAATTAAAGTTAATTGACTTTTTTATTCCAGCATGAAAGCATCACATTAGATTGTGCTCAAATTTCTTTCGAAGGAACCTGGATAGAGTCTGAGATCGCGCTCGAAGACACATTTTTTAATCCGTTTCCAGAACTGAGGACACCAACAAATAGCAGGCAGATACAATTATAATTATTTATGGAATAACAGGTTGCATCGTGCACTAATCAGAACTTTTCAGCGAATTCTTTTACCGTTTTCCTATGTACCAGAATTTATTTGGTAAGCATATAATTTTTACCTAGTTCTGATTTTTGACGTCAATTAACTATTGCCATCATTAAGTGAGGATATTTCCTCCATAAGTACTTCGAAGCTATGTACTCAGAGTGTATAAATGATTTTTTATAATGCATACATAATTTTATTGACACAATAAATGTGCATGCAATAATTTAAATTCTTATTTTATTGGTTTACTATGAATTTCCGGTCTATTGTTTTATCAGTCAACGTTTCATCATGGCATTAAAAAAGTTACTAATCATTGATGGCCGTTTAGAAACTTAATCTTCCAAATCGTTTAATTTGTAAACATATATGCACGTGATAACAAGCCTTCGTACGCACTAGGCCGTACGTGCATGAAGAGATCTTTAGATGTGCTCCGGACAAAAGCCCCTCTCCTTGATGCTAAAAATTGGCATCGAGCGGCCGCGCCTTTATTGCTCGGTCCAGCCTAAGGTCGAGCTATTTCCTGACGGTAATTTACAGCGTAATTTATGATGTCTCTACAAGGCTGGACATGAAGGAAGTCCCGCGTAGTGATGGATTAGTGACCGCAGCTCAAGTTGGCTTCAAACACCTCCTGCAAATCTGTTTTTGGTCAAATAATCTATGAGAATTTATTATTGTGCTTCATCATTATTCAGAGTTGTGGTGTTTACGCATTATTTTATTATCGCCGGTCAATTAAGAGTTATATTTTTAACTTATTACGAACATTGACGTTAAAAGAAAAAATAATAATTTGTCAACAACTGGCACAATCGATGCTCAATTTAATTAATGAAATTGAAGGATTGCGATAATGCTAAGAATCACAACATAAGGAAAATATTCTAATCTCAAATCGTTAGCAAGCACAGTTCGAAGATTATATCATAATTTTTGGTTACTAAATGCTCGAAGAAATTAGAGGAAGAATCATTAAAAATGCTTTTAAATCTCTTGCTCAATACAGCCTCAAACAAAGGAATACATTGAAACGAACAAACGAATTCTATATCCTCTTATAGCTTTAAGGAAATGGGCTCTGGAAGAGGGATATTGTATAAATGGTTAAAAAAGGAATAACAGATAAGCCTGACCAAGAACATTCTATGAGAGGGGATATGACCAATTACTTTCTTGAAGATAGTAAGGAAGATTGTGAATACAATTAATTAAAAACACTGTTGTAAATGTTCGATACGAAACTTTTGTGGTTCAAGACCAGCTGTGGGCGAAATGATAAGAACTACGTGCGTTGATTGGGGCTCTAAAGTATGGCGTGCAAATGATCCATGAATCGTGGGAGGCACTCCCAAGGCAAGATCTTCATCAGGTCTACCGACGACTCGGTCGTCAGTACATCTCAGCACCTAGCCAAGCATCAAGCGAGTCTCCTGCATGCCCTTTCTAATACAGCAGATTCTTTTTAATGCAAAAAATACTGTGCATTCGGATCAAGCAACAATAAATTAATACCTGTCGATATTTGAGACACGAGTGTTAGTCAGTTTAGGCTAATTTTTCGTCCTGTAAAAGGGTTCAGTGGACCAGTAAAGCAGTAATGAGCTGATAATGGACTTGTTAACCCAGAGGATTGGTCTACCTAATCATGCTTTGATACTGATCGGCTTTTACTAATTGTTGTTGTATATCTATTTGGAATTTCCGAAGAATAAATTAATAGTAAATGAAATGAAAATACGCGATATAATAATATATAACAAGTGAAATTATTGTCAATAATTAATAACTTGTGAATAGTGAAATGAACATATGAAAACTGCGCTTTTTGGTCACTGAATCCGTCGCATGACTCGCCGCTTCGGCCCCATTAGCGATGGCAAGTGTAAAGAAGAAAATTCCCAGCAAGGCGCGCCGGCGAATCTCTCGGACCAGAAAATCTTCAGATGACTGGGATTCTTCTCAGTACACTGACTCATCTTCGATAAATTCTGACGGGTACAGAGACTTCCGTCGCTTCTCTAACGCTGATCGCGTCCGAAATTCCTTTGACAAGTCGGCCGACGTAGATGGGGAGTCTGCCAACATCATGGGTGTTGGGATCGGTGTCAGTTTGGGACTTTTCCTTGCTGGGCCCGGAAAAAAGGACACCAACACCAATATTAAGATGATGGTTAGGATGAAGAAGGTGAGATGTCCTATAGTGAATAAATTTTTGAATGTGCAAGAGTATTCGATGTATTTATTGACAGCGGTTGTGCCTCCCACTACCATTTATTGGGGCCATTATTTGTTCCATTGATTGGTCTAAGCTGGCATGTTCTCGGTTCATGTTTTGCTTTTATGTCTAATCTATCGATAACTCGGGATAAAAATTTAACCTCACTTTTTATCACTCACTTGAACCTCTCAAAGTAATCAGAAGATACGAATTAAGGAGATTATACTTCATTGTGAAGAGGGAAAGGCATTCGGTAAACAGTATTCAAAAATGCAAAAATGAATATATTTCAGTTTTTTAGCTAGTGCAGTTGTGGCATTGGATCCGGCATTATTGCGGATACAAAGTGGCAATAAAACCTTTTCGTGAACTAACGTATCTTACTAGCGTTAATGTCGAACTAATTCATATTTTTAGCTCCAATAATTCATGCATGATCAAGCAACCAATCATTTAACCTTCATTTAGCTAACAAAATTCAGAACTAAAACTTTGAATCGAGAGAGCCTCGGAACTTTGTCTTATACCGTGCGTGACATTCGGCTGTCATGTCTGCAAGGAAATTATTTGTTGGCCGAGTTGTTTCCTGAACACCGCCCCTTGACTGGACTCAGCCAGCATGCAACTCTCTACCCCAGTCGCTGGCGTGGCTCCAGCTCTGAAGGGGTATAACTCGAGGATGATCTCGATAAACTTTTGGTGCATGTAACAAATTAAGGCATGTCGTTCATAGATTAAATATTTAGTAAATATTAAAAGGATATTATACTTATTGTAGAGATAATATTTTAAAATTTTCAACCAAGTGAGGTAATTAAGTTCACATCACAATGACTGGATTGTTTCGGCCCTATTCGTATGGGGTCGAATTTGCTACTGCGCGATTCAAACGGCAGGTTCGTCTTCTCGGTTCTGAAATAAGTGAAACAAAGAACATGTAGTGTTAGCCATTTTGCGAGTTTTATTTTGCGATAAATTATAATTTCCCTTTACCTTGGCAACACCGTTAGGAAGTTAACGTTGCGCACACAATTTTCCCGTTAATCATTATCGTTCGGGTGATCCCCGCTGCAAGTTAGTTTTAAAGCTCTAATAGGTTCCTTTTTATTATCTGAATAATTGTTATATTGTATTATTATTTCTTTATTCATCCGCAACGACGATCATTCATTAGATTTACTCTTCAACAGATACGTTGAGAAGTAAACGTTTACACGTTGCCAAGGGTATTATTTACACTATTTTTCCATAGCATATTATTTATTTTCAAAGCTCACCTTGTTGTCAATTTTTCCTGCATTAAAATCTCGATTCCAGTCTCTTTCATTTTCAATCCTGTTGTTTTACTGTGTGGGTAATGACTGACTCTTACCCCACAAACATTTATGCATCAATTGTGATCTAAATCTACACTATTAACGAATAATTTCAATTGAAACCGACAATTCAGTTATAGGTAAATATTTAGTAAACAATTTCTGATTGCACGCTGGCTAGTTAGTATTTTTACAAATTTTAGCTGAGTGATCAAATGTTTTTTTTTTTTGTGAGCCTTGCCTTCCCCCTACTTCATCGTCAGCGAGACTCGCGTGTGCACATGCAATGCATCATGTCATTCCTTCGCCGATTTACTTTTTTGACTACCCATTTGGTTAAAGATAGGGTCGAAATTCTCGGCAATTTTGAACAAATAATGACATTGAATTTTGCGTATTTTAAGACCTAACTCTCTACAACGTTATAGAGAGACTTCTTGCAGTCATGCCTCGGTTAAACTCCAATTGTTTGCAAATGAATAACAAAATATCTACGTCGCTTTTCTGTGGATTGCAGGAATGAACAGTCGTAGCTACACGTGAAGACTTGCTAATCATGGAATTTCAAGCAATTTGCTGATCCGTTTGAAACTAAAAAATCTGTTTCATCCCTTGAAAGTAGAAACCGCTTTGAAAGGGATGGCTCCTATCGATGCCCCTAATATAAGCAAATTGCATTTCTGATAATTTTATTCTGATTTCATACTATAATAGGAATTTGCTACTATAATTGGGATTTGCTACTATAGTTGTTGTTTCAGAATTTGAATTGGGATTCCTTAACCTTGATTATGAACTCATAATTAACCTTTTATTGTGAACTATTAATTTTCAATGCAGTTTAAAATCTTTTCACAATAATTTCAATTCCATCATAATGTGACCTCACAACTTTCATTATGATCTCACGACTGTCATGTTATCTCTACGCTTTCATTGATATTCCACAATTTTCATTGTAATATCACTTTCCTTGTGGTCTTATTTCTAGTATATTGTTCATAGAAACTGGGACTTTTTCTAATGATGATGCACATTTTGCTCTGTGTGGATCATACTGACCCAGTTTGACACGGTAAACAGGCGTATAATCAACACGTTCACTCTCTCCACGTGCTGTGGGTAAGAATATGTGTCACTATTTGGGCAACGCGACTCACTCATTTCCTGATTGTGCTTGTACTGCGGTCAAGAAAGTGTGTCACAATACGGACAATATGACTCGTTTTCTTTTAAATCGTTCGTTCTTATTTGGTCCAGAAGCGCCGTGCAGACGCTGAGCGCAGAGCTCGGCGGGGCGACACCGACCCTCGCTACGAGTACGTCTTCCAGGTGCTAGGCGCCTGTACGGGCATCCCGAGGCACCAGGTCATGGACTTCGTGTTCGAGGAGAATTTGGTAATTCTTAATTATAACTTTGTTACATAGTTCTCCGAGATAATTCACATTTATTTATTGTAATTATTGTTTTGCATCATTTTTATTGGCAATTGTAGCAATTAGCTACAATATTTGGTGCGATGTACATTGCATGCTTGATTGTTTTTAAATTATTTGGAACATTGGTATTATTCGAGAAATAATTCATATGAACAAACATGTTTCCGTAATCTATATAATTTTTTACCAGCTTGAGTTTTTATTTTAAAAATGTAGTATTAAATAATGTGCTATTACTTTTGCAGCTATGAAATCAGTAAATGATAATTTCAGGTAATAACTTACTGAACAGTTCAGCACTATAATAGTCCACCATTAAAAGATTACTATAGTGCGCGGTTTCACAATAAAAATATCACACGATCAGTAGGTACTTAATTTAACTATTTAATAACCAGTAAAATATAAATTATTCTTGAAATCACAACTTTATTCAGCAAATCCTGTAAAATTATTTTCATTCGTATGAATGCTATCATTAAATGTGACATCTCTTAATATTTATAATATTCTTAATATAAATAATTTTTGTGGCCAGCTCGAGGAACTCGGCAAGTTTCTGTCGCCCGGAGAGTACCACAACATGGTGTGGTTCTACCAGCCCGCCGAGGAAGAGGTACCTGAGGTGGCCATCACAGAGGACGACCAGGAGACTAAAGCAGACCACGACGACGACCACGACTCTTGCAAAGTTTGTATTGGCAGATGCAACTATTTTATCTTTTAATCATCACTGGTGTTGGTCGTTGGATGAATGACTGAGCAGATGTGTGCCATATAAGTTTATGGAAACTCAAGGTGACGCCTAATTTGCCTCTCGTCTTAGAAGAGTTGTTGTTTCTTGTCTCACGTTTAGAAAAGTTGTTGCCCATGGACAAAATTGTGTGGTACAGGATTAACTCACTCGTATGGTTATCACTATACAAACATATTTACTATAATGATTATTAATCTAATCACCATACAATTTGCTGTTGAAAAATTAGAATAAAAACAATAACCTGTCTTCCTCGTAGCCGGTGACATCGCCTCTGATGCCGCCGTCGGGAGTGTCGCGCCGGAACTCTGAGATCAGCAGCGCCTCGGAGCTGCATGACTCCAGACGTAACTCCATCGCGACCGAACATTCTGACGGTCAGTGCCAGGGTTGCAAGATGATGGCATGTGAAAACGGCCTAATTTACTCGCAAAAAAGGCTAAAACCGACCAAAATACAATTTTTAACAGTAAATTTGTACTTAGCGGAACAATTAAATTTTTTAAGGATTTCTTAAATTGAAAATTACTATAAATTTGAGATTTTTGCTGCCAAACGCTATTTACGTAAAAGCACAATTCGTCATATTTGGGCAAAAAAAGCCCATCTAACAACATTGGTCAGTGCTTGTACGGAAAAGTGAACTGGATCTCCAAAGAGTGCAATAGAGCATTCAGAATTAGTTAAAAGCTGATTGCAGTGTGTAGCCTGCAGCCAGATTTTATAATCATATGCAAGATAAAATATATATTTAAATATGTATTCTCAGCCAGTGTGTTTAAGCAAAATCAATCTCAAACTAAAATTCAACTATGAAACTGAATTAGTAATTTTCGAATAAAATTAAAGATTTAGCACAAAATTTGCAGATTTCGATGACCAAATTGGATCTTGGGCTTCATAAATTTATCTTTGTAATAGCCGTAACTTTGTAACTCAAACGTTTGGAAAATATATCACAGAATATCACGCTTGAAAAATTTTCATTGAATTGAAATGCATGATGTTGGCTGTGGCAAGTCGCAGCTCGGAGTAACCCTAGCTCTGCACAGCAGACGGCGGCAGCGACGCGCGGGGCTTGGGTCCGGCAGGGAAGCGCATGCGTCTGTTTGTGGGCGACCCGCGCCTAGTGCCGCTCACTGGAGTCTGCGTCTGGATGACTCGTACCAACCCGCAGCGTACAGTCTCTGAAGAAAATGTTCACAGAGTACGTCTTGTAGCCGGCAAATCATTTTACTCCAGGTCAAAAGGCAGTAGATACTTATAAAAATAGTGGAAATTTAAGTTTTTTTAACGATTTGTTAAACATTTGCAGGACATTTTTTTTATTGGGCCTCAAGAAGCGTTCAGAGGTTAAACTTTATGTGATGAACGAGAGAAAACTCGACTCAAATTCTACGTTAAGGTGAAAAATTCTCATATATTTTTGAAGCCCAGTAGTCATGAATTTGATTTTTTCTTTCGACACCTCAAGTTGTTTTAGTTTGAATTGAAACGTAATAATATGCAGTCTTACGGTAGCTATTTCTAGTGTTCTCAGAAGTCATTGTCCACTGCCTTTAAAACTCATCGAAGACCGAAGACTGAAGAGAGTCTTCAATCGACCGAAGAGTCGATTGTGCGGGTTGATTGAAGGGTTATTGAAAGCTGTAGTCGAAATTCGTTGGATGATAAGAGCCTAATTTTTTTCTCGTACATAAGTTTAGAACGTCATCCGAGGATGTTGTGCGAACGTATTTCTCAACATGCTTTTGGTAAACAAGTTTATTGTTTCATTTATTTTTTATGCGAGGGTGTTGAGATAACTTGAGCTCTTACTGTTGAGATCTTAACGTTGAGATTCCTCAACACCCAGGAGGTAAACTTTGGAGTGCTGCGCGCGGGCTCTGGGGGCGTGGTGCTGCGGTCCATCGAAGCAATGCTGCGCCGAGTGTTCGTGCCCGCTGTACGCCTCAACCCGGGACCGGACCCCTCAGCCGGCGGCACTGCAAGGGACCATCTCCTGGCCGGTCTGCGGTCGTTCGCTTCCTGCCTCAATGGTGAAGTGCTGAAGGACGGCTTGATGAATAGCACTAACGAGTGTCATAAAAATTATATTCATTCGAGCTCCGAGAAAAATAACACTCTACCTATTGTTTGTCTTAAATACTAATTGTTTTATAGTTCTTTGCAGAAGACTCATCAGTTCATCGAATTCTTTAAAGAACTAGCAAGTTAAATTGGTGTTGGTTGAAGAAGATGTGGAATGAGATGCCTCAAGATTCTATCACTTGTTATAATGCATAGTAAATTCATACGGGCTAACCTGGTGCTGCTCTAGCGGTTGTATGTGATATGTTACAGGTTAAGTTGGCATATGTTAATGGTGTGATAGAAGGCTAACCTGCCGCTACTCGGGATATTATCTGTGATAAGTTGCAAGGCTTGTCTCGAAGACAAGAATTTATGCCTATAAATACTTTTATTTAAGCGCAAAACAGCCAAAAAAGTTATAAATTCTTCGAAAATCAATCACTACCATGCACACCTTAAAATCGTAGCATCAATTCATGACTGATTTCCAAGCTATCATTCTTAATATTATTATCATTGAATTGTTTTGGGCGCACTCAGTGTCGGAGCAGATCCTGCTGGAGAGGCTGGAGCTGGGGCCCGTTGAGGGGGGGCTGGAGGTGGGGGGCGGGGCGCTGTCGAGCGCCCAGCGGTTGCTCGCTAACCCCGACCACGTGGCCGCCGTCGAGCGCACCGCCCGGGCATGGCTGCACGTCATCGGTGAGATACACCTACTGTTTCTTTATTATATTAATAATTTATATTTTATTGATCAAATTCGTTTCCTTAATAAATTGTTCTAGATATAGCATGCGATGATAACTTCCATATGGTCATAGTGGTTCATCATTATAGTATCAAGCAAATAGGAAATGATCCTCGATAATTCAAAGTGTAATTGCATATTATGTTCGTTGCATCAGATTTCAGCCTGTAGCTTATATTAAACGTCTTACTCGGTTACTTGGTCTTACTCGGTTAATGCGTTAATCAAACCAAATAAGTTCATTTTTAATGAAATCATATCAAACGGCTACACCACAAGTCGTGTTCAATTACTAAACTCTACTGAAATTGAATTCATATTTCTGAGAATATTTTAGTATCAAATTGCTTCGAATATGAAAAGATGCGTAATTGGTGTCTAATTGTATTATTACAGCGCATTGAGTTACCGCTGCGTTATTCAAATTGCATCAAAACGAGTGAAATATTTGATCTGCATCATTCTAGAAGGCAATGCAAGTTTGTTACATATAATGCTCTATTACAGGACCAAACTAGGTAAGAATGACTCATGGGCAAATAAATTTTTCAGTGCCGACACAAATTGAACTCGTCGCAGTTAAAGATCATAGTTGCAATGTTGCTCGCCATGGCTGAACCTTAGCAATTTTAATAGTTTATCGACTTTTCTAATCGATCTTTAGGATGCAAAAATAAATGAACGACGTCGGTGAAAATCGATGTGGTAAAATAATAATATATTTTTGGGAGGTGACACACTTACTTCTCTGAGCATACAATGACGATGACTGTCCCGGTCGTATGCACATCCAACACTCAGAGAAATGAATGAAATTCTGTCCAAATAGCCATGTTTTTTTGACCTTTTGATGGCCATTCTGACCTCGTTTGGTCCAGAAAAGCAACGTATCAGGTTTACACGCGAAAAGAGTGTCAATATTTGGGCAATGTTTTTTTTTTTATTTGGTCAACCCTGATTGCAGAGTCCGTCCTAATAAGGGAAGCGTCTGGCGAAAAATTTAGGATTTTGGTTTTTCCGGTTTTTATGCGAAAGCTGACATTTTGACGAATAAAACGGTACCAAAATCATCCTTGTACGCTGATGTATGCGTTCACGACAGATCGCAAAAGGTTTAGGGCTAGGTGTCGCGGAGCTCTTTCACATTTTGTTACGGCAATAATTAAAATTCGCGGCCGGACACGTAAGACTGATGTCTGTGGACCCTGCACTTCGGTAGCTGTCATGCGGGAAGGTGCTCATGCAGTCGTTCTCTCCATCTGTGATTGGAATTGAGCTCAAGTAACGCCTAGACTGGTATCCGTGCACCATAAAGGCATAATAAGGTCCCAGAAGGATTACTAGAATTTGAAACAAGAGCCAACACCAGGGGCCACGGCTATAAACTAAAAAAACACCGTTGGAACACATCCATGCGACAACATTTCTTCTCGCTTCGAGTCACCGACATGTGGAACAGCCTCCCTGATAGCATCGTTGACGCTCCGAGTATGAACATCTTCAAAAACAGACTAGACGAAGCTATGCAGGAGCATATGTTCAGTTTTAAAATGCCTAGCAAATTACGGACCAGAGCCATACCTTCAAAACTCGCTAAGTGAACGTAAGTCCTTACGCTCTATTTTCTTGTCTATGATTGGTGGATTTTGCTTGAAAGGCCGTCAACGATTGGCTGATGAACTTACGATCTCTTATCTTTTTTTGAAAGTATAAGCCCTGCAGGCAATAAGTCCAGCAGCTATCTCAATCAATCGTCAGCTATGGAAAGATCGGGTTTCAAAGGCCGGATCCCTTGTGAATCAAGTCACGAAAAGTTCAAGAATCGGCAGCAGGCCATGGGCCTATTTCTTCAACGCCGACAATTCTATTCTATTCTATATTTATAGCGCGCCGCGGGGCGCTCGGGGCTTTGTCGCGCTCTACTGAACATCGCACTTATTGTCACTGGAAATCTATCTCCTCTTTTAGTTTTGTAGTTGCAGAATTAAGAGATATACCATTCGATTTGCAAATAAAAGATCTAGAGGATGGTTTTTTGACATTTTGTTATAGTTTTGAAAATATTTTGAAAAAAGAGGGGGAATTCGAAAGGGGGGGGGGGAATCGAAAAATTTTCGAAAAATGACCACCCCACTACAAAAATTCGAATTTCGAAAAAAAGCTAAGACCAATCGATAGATATGATCTTTACGCATCGAATGATATAGGGTAACATGGGGCAGCGAGCCCACTGCGGGTCACGGGCCCATAGCGGGTTTCTCGCTAAGTATGGCAGATATTGGTCCGTGTTCTCTACCGCCGGTCGACAGTTTCACTGGGATGAAGTGCATGGATTTACGTTTTGCTAAGTGTTTTCGTTATTAAGTTCTTTGCGAATAACTGTTTTAGTCCAGATAAAAATTTATAGGCGTCTAATTCACATCATACATTCCTCATTAGTTGCACCTTTAAACAAAATAAAGAACCACCTCGTATCAATTAAAACTTCATCAAAAATTTAGTTTAAAAAAAGTGGGGGGCGCGCTGCTCCACGTTACCCTACGTCTCGATGTTATAGCTTGAAAGTCCTAGCCTCCTAGGAGGAAATAGATTTCTACAGCACCCCTTTTTGGCCGTTCTCTAAGAATTTCACGTTTTCTTTCATATTTTCGAAAATTTACAGGAATTAAAACATCTATTTTTCTGTTTACAAATGTGTACCAAGTTTCAAAAAGATCCGTCTGTAATAAGCCGAAATAAAATTTCCACAAGACAATCGCCTAATTAATTGAGATGGAGCAGCTGAAAGTGTCACGCTGAAAGCGTGTCACTATTTACACAGTATGCTTCATCCATTTTCCTGATTGCAGAGTCCGTTTTAATTGAGATGGAGCAGCTGAGGCTGGAGACGGACTCCGCTGGGCCGCAGGACGAGCTCGAGTACTGGAAGAAGAGGATGGCCAAATTCACGTTCTTGGCCCAACAGATGGACCTGCCTCATGTGAGCCTCAACGAACTTGCTCAATGATAATTAATCAACACGAAATTATTTTATTTTATCTCAAAAATATTAATTGATGGTAATTTCACAGTAATCTTGTATTTAACCTCAATTTTGTCTTGATCGATTCTGGGGTAGAGCTTCCAACGGCTGTTTCGGGAGCCAGCCTTAACGCATCGAATGAATTTTATGTGAAGGCTTGAAGTAGTGATGGAGCAAATGTGAGTCTTGTGATTAATTCTTTATCGTGGAATGAGGACAATAAATCACTCACTCAATTTCTCCAACGTTTCTTTACATCTTACAAGAGTGAAGTAGTTAAGTGGTCTGAAAATAAATTATCGATCGAAACAAAACATTAACGCTTCTGATGCCCCAGCAGGCTGGCACAGTGTATAGTAGTATAATATAGTATCTTTGGCATTAAAGAATAGGCCTGGATAGGCCTGTCGCCGATTCATGTACTTTTCTTGACTAGACTGGCCTTTTGATCAGATCTTTTCAACGGACGGTAGATTAAAAATCGCTTCTAGATATGAGTTGTTCCGTAGGGTACGAGGCATTTTAAGACTAAACATATGCTCATGCATGGCCTTGTCTAGTCTGTTCTTGAACGCGTTCATACGAAACATATGCTCATGCATGGCCTTGTCTAGTCTGTTCTTGAACGCGTTCATACTCGGAGCGTCAACAATATCTTCAGAAAAGCTGTTCCACATGTCAGTGACTCGAAGCGAGAAGAAATTTTGTCGCGTGGATAAGTTGCACCGCAATTTTTTTAGTTTATAGCTGTGGCCCCTGGTGTTGGTTCTTGTTTCAAATTCTAGTAATCCTTCTGGGACCTTGTACAACCCCTGAGTATACTTGTATACTTCAATGAGGTCACAGCGCAGGCGACGATAACGGAGACTGGGAAGCTTCATAATCTTCAATCTTCTTCATAAGACTTGCCCTTTATTCCTGGGTTTATCCTTGTTGCACGTCTTTGAACACTCTCAACTAAATTTTTGTCCTTTTCAAGTTTCGGTGACCACACAACGTGTCCAAACTCTAGGTTCGGGCGTCCGACAGAGGTGAACAACAGCTACATCATTTCTATATCTAGGTACTCGTAGGAGCGTCTGATCAGCCGAAGCAGTTTATTGGATGTATTAACTTGCGTTTCAATATGCCTATAAAATTTTAGCTCCTTGTCGACACAAACTCCAAGATCTTTTTCCACGCAAGTCTTCTCAATCATAACTCTCTCGTTGCAACCGTGTCTTCTCATGCTGTAAGCTTGCTGTTCATTGTTCTTGCTGAGGTGAAGTACTTTACACTTGTCAGCTTTGAAACGCAGCTGCCACGCATCAACCCAGTCAACTAAACTATCAAGATCATTTTGCAGTTGCATTTTATTTGACGCATCCTTAACTGTATTATAAACTTTTGTGTCATCGGCATACATGGAGCACACGCTTGACATTACTTCTGGTAGATCGTTTATAAAAGCGACGAACAAAACAGGTCCAAGAACGCTTCCTTGCGGTACACCACTGCTCACAGTTACCCAGTCTGATACGGTTCCATTAATGCTGACACGTTGTCTTCGGCCTACTAGGAAATTCATGATCCATTGGAGTACATTTCCCTCTATTCCCAAAGAATTCACTTTACGTAACAGTCGCTCATGCGGAACACTATCAAATGTCTTGGCAAAATCGAGGTACAGTACAGAGCATCCACTGGCTGCCTTTCGTCCAGCAGGCGAGCCCAATTATTCAAGGTTGACAGGAGATTAGTGGTGCATGATCTGTCAGCAATAAAGCCATGCTGACAGTCTGATAGAAGATGGTCAACAGTCAAGTGATCTATAATCATATCCCTCATAACCGATTCCATCACTTTACACACAACACTTGTGAGACTTACAGGACGGTAGTTACCTGGATTACTCCTGTCACCTTTTTTGAACAGGGGTGTCTGGTCGCTCCTCAAATAGCTGGAATACTATGCAAGTCCTCATCAGTGAAGACGCTGCTAAAGAACTGATTTAGAACATTGGCCTTGCCCTCGTCAGAAGATATCTTCTGTTGATTTACATTCAAATCAGCAATACCGTCCCTTGTCTTACACTTCGAACTAGCATACAAGAAGAAGGCTTTCGGGTTCTTTTTCGAGTTTTTGGCAACGTCTTTTTCAAATTTTTTGACTGCGGTTCGACAAGCTTTTTTAGCTTGATTTCGAGCTCCTGCATACAGGTTATACTCAGCATCGCTACGAGTTCGTAAATAACGCTTGTAGGCTTGTAGGCGTAAATAACGCCTTCTTTGCTTTTAGCAAAGAAGGTTACAGTGGTTACAGTTCAGCTGAGTACCAGGATTGGAGAATGAGCTGTTGGTTCGATTCCAGCTACCTGCGACAGTTCTGATTAAAATCGGCGTTATATAGCCGGGCATAAATTGGAGCAATGAGTTGGATGATCGAGACGTGCTACAAGCGGTGAAAATTATGGCTATGTACAGAATCGGCGACATGCAGGTATAATGGCCTGACCAACGCTGTCACCGTTATACTACTTGATAGCGAAGCTAACGATAAATTATGTATTCCTCCTAAAAAAAAAAGCATTGACTGCAGGTTCGTGGAGTGGTGCTGGTGCTGCAACTGTCGCGCTCGAAGGTGCTGCCGGCGTGGCAGGCGGCAGACGACCGCGTCACCAAGAACTTGGCAGAAGCAAAAGACAACGCAAAATTCGTGTATTCCATCGAGGAACATTGCCACCCGCTCTATCTCAACGATCCTGTGAGTTTATTTAAAGAACTAAATATTACTCTGTGTTTGGACAAGAAATCCTTTGAGTTTGTAGCTCGTGTGACTTCAGAATTTTTGTCTATTTGTACCTGAATTCATGTGAATGTTCTGTATATTTTAACTATTAAGTTAACGTTACTGTATATTTTACTGTAGATCTTTAACGTAAACTTCAAGGTAAAAACTTGACAACATATGAAATTCAGTGAACCGAATCAGAGACTAATTATATGAATGGATTTTCTTGCTGCAGCCCGGGATGATCCCCTACATCATGCCACTATTTATATGAATGGACTTTCTTGCTTCAGCCCGAGATGATCCCCTACATCATGCCACTATTTATATGAATGGATTTTCTTGCTGCAGCCCGGGATGATCCCCTACATCATGCCACTATTTATATGAATGGACTTTCTTGCTTCAGCTCGGGATGATCCCCTACATCATTTCACTATTTATATGAATGGATTTTCTTGCTGCAGCCCGGGATGATCCCCTACATCATGCCACTATTCAACACCATCCGCATGATTCATCTCGTGTCGAGGTTCTATAACACGTCGGAAAAGCTATCTGCTCTTTTGATCAAAGTAAGACATTGAAGCCTACCGCGCTATAAATTACAAACTTTAAAAACCACAGATTACGTTCGAATGTGTTCCTAAATATCTATTGTATCACCTGATTTGTATATGATAGTTACAAAAAAGTGTAAATTATAGACATGAAGATAGTTTATTGGTTCTCGGTTTAGCTTCCTTTCCAAGTGAATCTATCTGTTGAAATATTTTTATTTGTTTGTGAAATTTATGTCAAAAAATCTGCAGAAATAAATTTCAACCATGTTTCAAAATGACTTTGCCCGGAAACCAAAAAGCATGTTTGATTCACCCAGCTAACCATGCATATTTGATAATATTGAGAATGGCACGGTTCGAGCGTGTTGTTTTATTTCTAGGGACAGTCAACATTAAAGTATAATGACGCCATAACAATTTAAAAGTTAACTAAACCAAGGCCAATGTTAATATAAAGGTTCTGTGCTCTGGGAATAACAGGAGGATATTAAATTGAAGATTATGATTCCGGAATTAATTTGAGGTCTAGAACTAAAATATCGTAGGTCCCATAACATAACATATTGATCTCGGCGCTGAAGTGTAGGCCTGATGTGGCCTGTCGCCGATTCTTTTCCTTTTCGTGCCTTGTTCAGAGAAGATCTAATATAATGTCATTTGACCGGATATTTTCATGACTGACGATAGTTTCAAGTAGCTACTAGACTTCCACCGGGTTCGATATGGTGATCACGATTATGTCGTGCGAAAGATCCACTTTGTAAGACGTTCATATTGTTACGTGGCACAAATAAAATGTATTGTGACGCGCTCTCCCAATTTAATTTGTTAAAAATTTTCACTCGCTTGCAGTCCTGAAAAATGCTAGTTTACCAATTCGATTGAGGCTCATGGTAAAAATTACTATTAGACGCAGTTCGCATGCCTCAATGAATTATTTTTACAAGCAGCTGGTTTAAAAACGATTGGATATCAGAATGGTGTTTTTTTTTTGTTTTCCAGATCACAAATCAGATGATCCGAGCATGTCAAGTGCACGTGTCGTGTCGAGGCGAGAAGACCATCTGGAACCAGCCTAGGGAAGAGGTCAGGAAGAAGATCAACGACTGCCTCAAGCTCAGCGCTGCCTATCGAAGAAGTTATGAGAAAACCAAGGTGAGGAATACGTATTTCAACTCTTTATATGTATATGTAAATATTTATTTGAACTCTTTATTGTTCACACATGAAACTTTATTTCTTGTTTCAGCAAAAGACGTTTAAGGCTGAGGAAGTTATCGTTGTAAAAGGATGTTGATATTAACTCTGATGTTTATTTCATGCCTACCTGGGATCAGAGCGGTAGATCGAATACAGAGGTTGCACTCCGGCGCGGCCTGGAACTGCTACGTCTGAAACGCACAACAAGGATACAAAGATTATTAATTTTCTAGAGTCTAGACACATTATCGCACTGGGTTCAGTGATTCTAAAGCCCCTAAATACGCAGGAACGCCTCGACAAGACTCCAGGGGAGCGCCGCCAGTTTGGCTTCAGCGAGCAGTACGTGTTCGGGAAACTGGAGCTCTTCTGTGGCCGCCTGCAGAACATCCTTCTTCTCTTCGACCAGATGGACAAATTTACGGAATTTTTCGAAGGACGGGCAGAATGTGAGTTTCACTTGCACGGTTGCCTATTTCAATTAAATTGTTCGTTAACTATATTACTAAGTTTAAATACATGTTTAAATTGGGTGCCTGTGCAAGTATAATACTTTTAGCAAGGCTTCAAAAAGTATTTTCCATATGTTTCTCTAAGTTAATGTTGAAGTGAATGTAAATCTCGATATTCTTATATCCAGCATTAGCTAACTTATTTAGTAACTGCATGTGATTTACTGAAGTATTTTAAACAAAATGTTGATAAGTTTTTTTTCTTAAAGTTTCAGTTTGAAATTTCCCGTTTGAAATAATCTTATTTTTTTTATAAATATTAAATATAAAAAACTGTAGTTTTTCATTTATGCGAACTAATCAAGGTGAGCTCTTCAGTTGATCGCTAAATTGAAAACACTGATCAGGATTCTTGCGACGAGTGAGGAATATAGGAAGGGTTAAATGTTTGAAATGAATGTTTGACATAACTGACGAAAATGTGGTGTTGTATAAAGGGTTAAATGTTTTATATGAATGTTCGATATAAATTATGAAAATTTTGTGTTCTAGAAAGGGTTAAATGTTTGATTTGAATGATGACAATGTGGTGTTATGGTAGGGATTATATGTTTAACATGAGTGATGATGTGGTTATGGAAAAAGAAAGAAGCTTGGAGTGGCCCAGTGATTAAAATCACCAAGATAGGTCTGTTCGAAACCCGTAACTAGCTGTAAAAAATTTTTGTCGACATCGGCCACATTTCCTGGTGGTTAAGAATCGACTTCACGCCAGAAATCGGCCTAAGCGGAACTGATAAATATTCTATTATTAATAAATATTATGTTATATTAAACGTTCCAAACGAATGAGAGTTATATTGTTCGTGCATGCACGTTCATTCTGTAATAATTGTAATAAAATTTGAACGTTTCATGTTCCTAAAAAATATAACTCAAAACTCACTGCAGTGAGTGACAGAGAGCGCATTTTCTCGTCGACGAAAACTTGAGGTCACGGACAGACGGACAGACAGACAGACAGACAGACAGACAGACGGACATGGCGAGCACAATAGTGCATTTTTTCCATAAATGAGAAAATGCGCTAAAAATGGGAGTGTAAAATCTTCTAATTTTCGTAGATGATAAAATAATTACTTATTTTTTGTAGGTATGTATATCTGCACGGCGTGACTCAAATGTATGTACAATTAATATTAATCGTCTAATTATTCATTATTATTAATGAATATCCTGCTGTATATTTGCTGGATCCAATATGAAATTGAGCCATGTTTGTTCATAAACATTTAATTTGCTTTCACTTGTAAACTAGGACGCCCTGTAAAATCATTTTTGGAAATTTATAATTGCATCCTGAACGTTTGGTGAAAATGCAGAGCTGTTAAATCCATCTATCCTAATTATCTTGCATCCTTATGGTATTTTAAATTCACCAAATTCGATGACTAAATTAATTTTATTTAGGAGTGCTTTGCAATTTATTGTAAATTTACAGTTCCGAGTAAATTAATCGCTGCTCAGCGTTGTAAAACTCTAAAAAATGAACAGACTACCAAAAAGTACTTCGTTGTACGATTGTTTATATCCTTCTACTTCTTCCATGTTTTGCACTGAAATTTCCATTATTGCATGTGAATTGAGATCTAAATTTAAAAATAAATAATTACATTAGGGGTTTAATAAATTATTTTCTGAAATAACCATTGTTGTGCTAAAGTCTCCGGTCCTCATCTGTTTGAGATAAACTTTCTGTTTGCTAACTAAATTCTCGTTCTGATCTTTCAGCGCTATTGCCCATGGAGCAGGGTAAGCTTTAATCTCCTACTTGTGTAATGCTTCTAATAAGCTTCTCAGTATTCTATTAAAATTCCTACCCGTGTGATATTTACAAGTATTCCGTGTATATTTTTATTTGAATATATTTTCATGAATGGCGTACGTTGCTGCTTGAGTTGCTACAGGACTGCTTCAGGCAGCAATTCAGCTCTGTATAGCTGTCATATAAAATATTCATTAATGTAGTGAAAAATAATATGAAATTCTGGTTACGATGTTCTTACATGTGTACCCAATGTAACATTTCTTCTGCATTCTCGATGTATTTTTTCGAGCGTATAATTAGTGATGCAACACTGCATTTTTAAACTGAAAAATCTGAAAGTTTCTGTGCAATTTGCTGCATCTTGCCTTATGTTCTATTATTTAAACATTATATTATGATTTTCTTTTGATTTTCCCTCTCTACTGAGTTGTGTTAATAGTCACTGGATAAGCGGATGCATTAATGCTTTTAGTATGTATTTGTGAAGTGTAAATAAATATGGAAATATAATCTGAATTTGATATTAATCACAGGCCTGAAAGACATCATCAAGTCATGGCAGGAGATGTGTTCCGAAGTATCGAATAAGTCATATGATTACCTCAACTACCGAGACTCTCAGTTCGACGACGACCTAGAAGTGAGCCAAACTTCAATGGATCAGATAGCTATTATTTCGAGACTATTTGCTGAATGTCCTTAGCTCATGTAATGTTTCCAAAGATTATTTGTAACAAAAATTGTGCTGCCCTTTCCCACGAAGCCCATAACATTGAATTAATTTTGGTCAAACGTTGCTTCAACAAAATCAACTCGTAATAAACGTCATTTGACTGGAGGTATAGTTGATATTGTTGGTTTACTGTTTTTGGGGGGTTTGATTTACTATCCTTGCCTAGGTTTATCCTACAATTATTAACCCTATTTGGAAGGTGTTTGGCAGTAGCGTGAAGGAGTTGCTCAGGAGAGTGCACACGATGGTGGAGAAAGAGCATGAGGAGGTTTGGGACACGCCCATGGCTCTGCGAATGTTGAACAGGTGCAGCTTCGTCCACTTTTGAACTTATATAAGTATTAAATGTAATAAGCATTGGTATAAGCGCTAGCTAGGTGGATGTCCAAAATGACACTCGCTCATATAATTTATTCCACCATGTCTGATATATTTACTATTATTCTTATCTCAATTATCTGAAACTGATCCGAAGAGTAGAATTGTACTTATCACCTTTGTCTTACATTGAAGTATTGATATCATCAGAAGAAGCCAAATTTCATTATTGGGCTTCAGAAAATAGAATTTTAGTGATACCTCTCAAAAAGTTTCATAACAAAACATTTATGCTGCTTACTTGCCACTTAGAATTTCTCTCAAATTACAGGTTCGAGAAAATAGCAGAGGTTGTACCAAATTTGGATGTTGAAGGGAAGCACAAGAAAGTCCTGGCTCATTATCATCAGGAAATTGACAAGGTGACCAAAGCCTACAACAAATACTGCGACTGTCCGCTACCGCTACTGGGTTTACCGACCATTGCAGGCGAGTTATTTTAAAGTTTTGACTTCTATCAATTTTGTCATGGAAGAATTGTATGTTAACTGGCACCGTCATATCTATTTTCAGCGTGAAGTCCCGTGTATGCTGCTCATCGGCGAAAAGCTACTAGTAGCTTTAAAACGGGTTTAATTATTGCAGGTTAATACACAGGTTAATGTTCATCTTACTTGAACTAATATAAATCTTAAAATCACCGAGATTCTTTCATTAACTTTCAGAAATTATAGGGTCCCTTATTCCAGGGTAATTAGCGATTTCGCTTGTAAGAGATATAGTCTTGTCTTTAGGCAAGATCATGTGGGCACGGACGCTCTTCAAGCACCTGGAGGAGCCCATGGACTTTTTTAAAGACCATAAAGTTCTGCTGCATTTACCTGAGGGTAAAGAAGCCGTCAAGCGCTACAACAGACTGGGGCGCATCCTCGTACAGTACGAGATCACGTACTACGACATGTGGAGAAGACAAAGCGTCAGTTCAAAGCGTTTGGAAAAATGTTTACATGCAATGTATATTATATATGATATTGATATTTTTTGTTCCCTTTTGCATAGATATACTCCTGAATTCGTTGCTAGTACAGCTGGCATCGAAGTCGTTGTTGCTATAAATACCTTGCTCAGATCAAACTATTCAAAAACGCTAACCCAAAATTTACGTTAAGTAAATTAATGAAGAAAATCTCTATTTGGCTGATGAAATTTATCCATTACTAATCATTATTTGAGCAATTATTTCACTTATTGCTATCTATTATGTCATTTTCACGATCTTTTGTAAATAAAGCCGTCAATTTTAAGGCAGATATTAGTGTGAATAACCATTGACTATGACTGACTAACGTATTTTCGTCTGAATTTCAAGACATACATCAAGTGTCGACGCTGTTCTTCACAGATAGCAGAGGTGCAGAAATCTCTGCGTTGCACCCTCATTGTGAAGCATCCAGAGAACGAGGATCTCTACGTCAACTGGGATCCTCGGATCCAAGCTCTGTGTCGTGAGGCGACGTGTATGCAGCAGATGGGATTTCAAGTTGGTTCTAAGCTAAATTCTTAATTCAAATCAATTTTTAAGAAATTATGAGAGTTCTTGCATATTATTTTTTTATTGACTATCCAGATATTATACGATCTGCGTCGAATGAGAATCACTGTGAATTCAAAATCATACATAAAAGAAATTAAGGTGGAACAATTCTTACGTTAAATTTAGAATTTTAAATTTTTTTATTTAATTTTTTTGTAAATAATTCACCTAGATAATTCTACTCAGATTTATTTTTTTTATCAGATCCCTTACGCGGTAAACCTCCTTCTGAACAGAGCTCCACTGCTCTACCAGAAACGAGATATGGCACGAGTGAGTCTACTTCTTGACAGTTAGTTAACTTGCATTAAAATACCTCCAGCTATCTAACATCAAGATAGTTTGAAAATTAGCGACGAGATTTTCATACATTTTTTGACAATATGATTCTCAGATCTCAGGGATTTTATTTCCCGTTCAGCTCCGTGTGAGTCAGCGGGTAAACTATACTGCATATCAATTTTTGACCCATGAGATTAAATAATCAGAGCTAAACATTTTCTAAAACCCATATTGTGGTAAAATGTTTCCTCCGCCCTCAGCACATTTTAAAGGAGTACGAGAAGGTGCTGGTAAAAGCCTGTCCCCAAGTGAGGTCTTTGCTGGTGCCCCACGCCTCGAGGCTGCGAGAGGCGCTTCAACCTGGCCTCACGACCCTGACTTGGTCTTCTGTTTCGACGCAAGCTTTCTTTGAGGCCACAATTGAACAACTCAAGTCTTTCGAAACTCTCGTTGATCGGTGAGATTTCTCTGTTCTCGAGAGGATTCAAAGATATACTATTATTACCTATTTATTCAGACTATTACTTAAATTACAACCATAACAATAATATATATTTTTAGATTAATAATATTATAAATAATTTGTGGATATAATATTATAATAATTTATATACAGATATTTCAGATATCTCTTTTTTATTATCCGGAAAACATTCATGCTTCTCACCTGAAGAAAATTGTCGTGAACATTTCTACAGATTTATAGCCAGGTTTTCTTTTAGTGTCTATCTATTTATTTCATTTCTGTTTTCCAGAGTGAACGACATTTTCCAGCACCGCATGGAAGGCACGCTGGAAGACATGGCTGCCGTGGCACTGCTAACTTTGCCCACCGAAAAGCCGTGGAGCCTCGACACGCTAGTCAACACGGCCTTCGCGACGTGCTGTCGTGCTGCTAGGGTGGGGATCTATTGTTTACTAATTTTAAATTTAATGCATTCTATTGACACTTTTTGGAAAAGATTTATTGTGATTTAGTGCCCAAAATTGTTGTTCCAAATTTGTGTAGTAATACACAATGGTATAACCCACGTCCAGCCAATGTCACCATAAATGTGCTATTACAAACAAAAGTGCATTTATTTATCTTGAAGACCAACTGCCTCGAAACTGAAATCTTTCCTTTTTATACTTGGCTATTACAGGAGGACCAAGAAATTATTAGTTCTGTTGTTGCTTTCCCTTCCTACATTGTTAACGCAGGCAGGATTGAATCGTAGCGCTCTTTCTGGTTTTAGGGCTTCTGATCTTGGCGCTTCTTCGCCCAAATTTTGTTCCTCTTTTCTCTTGTTCAATGAATCGCTTATTCGTTGAATCGGAGACGCGAGCAGAATTGCCGAACTTAAAAGTAGACCTTGTTTTCGAAGCGCGCTCGAAAGAGCGATTTTCAACCTTAGGCGTTTCATTCCCGATGTTATATTCCTGATTAATATTTGCTGGGCCCCTCTTACATTGTACAGGATTTGAACGCCTTGAGTCGGGTCATTGAGGACGCTTTGTTCGACCTGATCTCGCTGGTGGTGGGCGAGATGAACAAGGTTGCCGGACTTGATGGTTCGGTTGGAGGGACCGAAGGTGGCTTGTCTTCGTACTTGTCCTTCGAAGAGCTCGAGGAAGGGAAGAATTTCGATGATTCCAAATCAGGTGAGACGCATGACATCACGTAATTGATTAAAACCACTGGAATCGACAATTCAATTTTGTAACGCGGATATTCAAAGTCAATGAGGCGACAGGAATACTCATTAGCCTAATAAATTTGAGCTCCAAGTTGAACGATACTGGATTTTCGATGTTCCATTTCATTATTGAATTTATAGCGCACTTTAACCTAGATCCTATCCGAATTTAATGCATCAAATTCAAGGTTTTTAGCGCATTTTCACATATATGGAAAAAAGGCGCCATTGTGCTCATCATGTCCGTCCGTGACCCGCTCGTCATGTTCGTCCGTGACTTCAAGCTTTCATTGACGAGAAAATGCGCTCTCTGTCACTCACTGCAGTGAGTACTTAGTTATATTTTTTAGTTTCATTTCGAAAATATATAGAAAATTTAGAGCACGCACTTCATGAACTTCATGTAAAATTTCGAAAAATATGAGCCCAACAAAATTTCTGAAAAACTTGTTTTCCCAGTGACATCACTGGGTTCATCTCGCCGGTCCCGGTCGAACAGTCCTCAGCCCAACCGCCCCGGGGGAGACGAGAGCTTCGGGGTACCAAAACTGGACCTGCCGCGTCCCCTCACCGCGCAGGAGAAACACAACAAGAAGCTTCTCGAGATGAGGGAGAAAGTATGTTCTTCGTTGTTCTATGTTCTTGTTGCTGTGCATTTGCTATGTTTTATTGTTATTTTCATACTCAATGAGCACTGTTTGGAACGTTACACTCAGATAAATGAATGGGTCATCCTTTCCGGTAGGTGACACATATTTTAACAACTGCATTAGCAGCGAGCGAACGAAATACTGCATAGCGGGAGCATGGTGAGGATGAGTTAATCAAGGGCAAAAAGTCTTTCGCTATTTGGACAATGACCTTTTTATTCTTAGTGTATATGTGACACGCAGTAGCTTATTTCGGTTTTATTTAAATACCAGCCTTCAACCACCAAGCCTTGCATTCGGAAATTAATATAATATGAATGGTTATTGTTCCATGTTGATCAATTTCTGGTGAAATATGTCGCAAGTTATAGATTTGAATACCAATTTCTAAACCAGTTCAGCGAGTTCATAAATTTATCGCTTGTGAAACTGCGTCTAATGAAACAGATTTCTAAAATTATGTGACCAGTACATTTTTAATTCAATGATCGTTCATGTGTTCACAATGGGTTCGTTGACTCTTCAAGCTTATTCATTCACATGAAAATATTTTAAAATAAATAGAAACTATAATGAACGGGCATTTAGCTCAATTTAATTTAATAATTTTTGCAGGTGGCGTCCGCAGTGCGGGAGATCCGGCGTTCATATCACAAGAGAGTGCTGGAGGTGGTGATAAGATCGGTGCGGATGGCGCTTACAACGCTCTGTACCTACACGCAACCCTCGGCGCTCTGCATTAGAACATCTAAAGGTCTATTATACATCGTTGCTGGATTAAATTTTATTGTGTTCGTTTTATATTTAGGCGTATTTTTTTTAAATATGTTTCAATATTTATCATTAAACAATCCAAGGTAATTATTATATTGCAGATACCCGCTTCACTTCTTTCTATGACTAAATCCAATAGTAACTAAGAAATTTACTGATTTATGGAATGCCTTGTTCGCAGGCCGCAGCCTATCTTCGCAAGATTTGTGCAAATTCGACTCCGCTAAAGATGAACCCAAAAGAGTTGCTCTTGTGTTGCTAGAAGCTCACATCGTCGCCCCCGGCATTGCAGTGACGCCCAAACTTGACGAAGTGAACGAAGCCCTCGTGAAGATGGCCAGGAGTGTCCTCTCTGTGGCCAAGGGGATCGCACGCTGGCAAAAAGGCTGCAAAAATCCGGTACGTTATTTTGTTTAGAACTAAAGTGATTGTTTGGAATTTTTTAATTCTTATATTCTGGTATAGGATAATATTTCATCTATGATTACTGTGGTCATTGGTTATTATTATGCAATTGATGCATTTAATTTAACATTGAATGAGTTTTTAATGGATTACTCAATTTATTGATTGTGTAATTAATTATTGAGTTGTGTTACGAAAACTATGCGCCACATTGATTTCGTTTCTCTTGGTAGCAGACGTGTGTCAGACTAAAAAAGAAATTATTAAGCTCAAATTAAATCCTTTTTTGGCGACGATTAATATTCTTTCCACGCAGCCCGCACGCAAATATTTCGCGCAAATCTACCAGTTTCCTGCCAAAATTTGCGTAATTATTATGCAAACAAATTTCTCGCGTAATGAATTTTACTTTCGTTGAAACAGAGTCCGATTTATATTCAACCAAAAATCCTATAATTTTTTACCTTTATCATAGAAAATTTTTTCCGCTGACGAAGTTTTTTATTTGATGCTCGTGTAATATATCGTCATCAAATAAAAACGTTTATAAGACTCGTGTGATATATTTATATGGTGGTGGGGGTACAGGTGAACGCCGCTGCAGAGGCAGAACTAGAGCGCCAAGCCCTGGCAGCGCGGCGGGACTGGCGCGAGCGCGAGAAACTCCAGGAGGTGCCGGCGCGGCCGAGGAATTACTACAGCGCTGTCTGCGAGAGCAAGGAAGTCCTCAAGATTATGAACCAGTTCACGAGTGGACTAGCTAACTTACAGCAGGTAATTGCGTCGGTAGTGTAAAGTGTATAAGTCGCTTCAACTTGTTCTTCCAATATCCTTCTTAGTAGCAGTAGGTGATGGCGTTGGTATTGAAGCCTTTAAATTTGTTTAACTAGCGTAAGAAATAACCGTGTTACTAACAACAGTTCAAATCAGACACTTATTCTTTTTACTGCGTACACGTTTTTTAACTAGCTATTGCAATACCATGTTACTTAAAGTAGGTAATTCGAATCGTATTAATTTGTTTTACTTGTTTTGCCAATAACCTCCTCACAATTACAAGAAACAGTTAATTGTGGTCATCATATAAATATCTTTTTTTATGTATAAAAAATGGTCTACCCCCTCGCACCGTGTAAGTTAGCGCGCAATTCGGTAAACATCTGTTTGTTATAAACTTAACTTTCTAGTGGCTTTCGTACCTGCAGAGGGTAAGCTGCTGTGGGAACTTATAATGGATTTGGACTTTACGGCTATTGCTATCATACTGTTCCTTCATTTACGTCAGACTTACATTAAAAGGATCGTCCTTTAAAAGCCATGCATATAATTATCAGATTAAGATTGGACTTTTTTGCGAAGGCATGTTTGTGTTTCGTCTTCATCTTTTTTGCGGCAATGTAGAAACTTGTCGTTTAAATCTTCTGATAATCGCGTAAATTCAATTTGAGGAACGAAAAATCAATGAAGATGGGTAGTAAGTGAATCGCAGCCATGTCTAGATTTCATTAAATATTTACCTATTTGCGTGCCTTAATGTTTGTGACATATTTTATTAGAAAGTATGACCGCATGTAACTTGCCAGTCAAAATCTACTGATGTATAATCATATTCAATCCCTTCATAGGTCATATGATATAATACTCGTCACAACAGGAGCTGGATAGCACGTTCAGTCCTTGGGAGAAATATCACACCCTCTGGAACGTAGATAAGGACTCAACAATTCGCAACATGTTGGCGAGCTCCCCCACGCTGCCTGAGTACGCCGCGGTCATCGAGGGCTACATGCAGCTCGGGGACAGCATCCTGGCAGAGCCTGACGCGTACAGTGTCGGGGCTGTTGATATCGCCACAAGTGAGAACGCCTTGGGCCAGACACTGATAAATAGTCTTAAAATAGTGATAATTTATCAGGCAATAATATATATTTTAAATATTGATAAATAATCAGACACTGATTAATCTTGGCAAATTTTTACTTGCGTAAGACTTGCGAGGGGAACGCAAAGACAACTTTTACACGCGCAATAAATTGAAAATTTTTTTTAAAAATGCTTTTCCGATGTGATACGTACCACAGTAGAAGATTTTATTGCATTGCTTATCATGTTGAATTGACTTATCTTGAAAAATAGCCTGGTTCTACAAAATTAAGAGTTCTTTCATGGGCAGATAATGTTAGTTTGTTGCCTGGAAATTTTCAACTTTTCACTAGAAGCAAATTTCCCACATTTTGCATTTGTGTTATTTGTGGACCTTAATTTCCTGTACTAATTATTTATGTGACTTATTTACATATCACTAACCAATATGATCACGAATATGATTCTCCCCGCACACCTGGAAAGCGTAATCACCTAGTAACACAAACGAAGCGTTCAGTTTTTTAAATAATTAATGTGAGAAGTAATCGTAACTCACAAATACCATGCAATGCCAGGCCGTCTGAAGAGCTATCTTATTGAAGAAACAAAGATCTGGGTGTCTCGCTACGCGGAGGCCATTAAGTGTCACTACATGAAGGAGAGCGAGAGGTTGTTTGCTCTGCTCAACGAGCTATCAAGACGTCTTGACCGTCCACTCAAGGACTTGGATGACATTAAAGGTGCCATCGACATCTTACGCAAAACCAGGGACCTTGAACTTGACATGGACGATTCCATCGATCCAATTGAGGTTAGCAGTCGTGCTAATATTATTATACTATTACCAATATTTTATGGACAAACTGGTCTGAGCAGCTGAATGTGATTCGATACTTTGATTTTTTTCTGATTGCTCCTGAATCTCTAAGGGATGTCATACTTAAGTGCATTATAACAAAAAGTTTAATAGGTGTGCGGTACTCTAAGCCGTATTTTCACATGTTAACATGGGCTCATTTTCACACAGGAGTCATTTGCATTGCTAGCCAAGTTCAGCCTTGGCCTTAACGAGGAAGAGAGTGACAAAATGGAGAGCCTACGAGGGACTTGGCAGAAAGTTCTGGCGCAGTCAGTACAAGTTCAAAATAATCTCTCCAGAGTGCAGCCTCATTTCAGGTACATAAATCTGCCTCATGCTCCATGTGATTATGCTCCAAGCTAGTATTTGTTAAGTATCAAACTGTACAACGTGCATGAATATATTAGTTATATTAATCTACACTAAAAACCCCATTAGGCTTAAACGATATGGTTTCAATTGTTTGATAAAATTTTAAAATATTTTTTAAGGAACGAACTTATCCGCAATGTGGCAACGTTCAAGAAAGACTGCGCTCGTTTCTGTCAAGATTACCGAAGCTCCGGACCAATGGTACCCAGTCTCCTGCCTAGGGAAGCCTCAGATCGTCTTGTGATATTTCAGGTACAAAATTCCAGGTATTAAGGTTTAGAAATAAGTTGCTAGTTAGAAGCATGATTATGATAAACGGTTTTCAGGGTTAGGTATGCTGGGAATGACACTTTAATATCACCCCAGAACCGCTTCGACTCGCTGTGGCGGAAACACGCAAGTTACTCGGTGGGCGAAGAGCTTTTCCGTTTACCGCGCTCAGAGTTCGTCGAGCTTGGCCAGATAAGGAAGGAGCTCAACTTACTGCAGAAGCTCTACAAACTCTATAATGACGTCATCGATCGCGTGTCCTCTTACTACGATATCCCTTGGACGGAAGTCAACATCGAAGAGATCAATAACGAGCTTATGGAGTTCCAAAATCGGTGAGTTGCACTTTAGAAGCTGCGTGAATTAATCTTAATTAGTATTTCTTAGCCATATAATAAATTTTTTTTCTGCTGTAAAGTACATCCAGAAAAACGATTAAGTCTTGAGAGAGCAATTTGGTTTCAACATCGACTTGAAAACCTTTAAAGTTCCTGCAAACGCGAATATATGATTAAATGTTGATTGATTTCTCATTTGAATTACACATCAGATGTCGTAAGTTGCCGAAAGCTCTGAAGGAATGGCCTGCGTTCAACGCCCTCAAGAAGACCATCGACGACTTCAACGACATGTGCCCTTTGCTGGAGCTCATGTCGAACAAAGCCATGAAGGCCAGGCACTGGCAGAGGATATCTGAAGCCATCGATAGGCCACTCAACACTGAGGCTGAAAACTTCTGCCTCAGGAATATTTTAGACACTCCGATCCTGCAGTGCAAGGAGGATATCGAGGTCAGATAAACGAGGACTAGAATTTGCCATACTGTTTATTCAAGACACAAACATATAATAATTACTGTTCTTGAAAATTATGTTAGTCCATTCAGCGCTGATTTTAGTTAACTTTTAAAGGGAATCAATGGAAAAGGATTTTTCTTTTATTTCTTCAAGCGAGTTTTATTCCCAGTATTATCCCATTTGCTGCAATGATCTGATCCATTCTTCATTTCAGCTTCAAATAGTAATCATACTAGCTGATTTCCTTAAACTCTTGTTATTTTCTTCAATTTCTTTTGAAACGGAAAACAATCCCGTAGGATATTTGTATTTCGGCCGTGAAAGAGAAAGACATCGAGGCCAAGTTGCGTCTGGTAACGAACGAGTGGGCGAGTCACGAGCTCACGTTTGCTGCCTTTAAGAACCGAGGCGAGCTTCTGCTGCGGGGCGAGAGCACCGCTGAGGTCATCACGCAGCTCGAGGACAGCCTCATGATTCTTGGCTCTCTGCTCTCTAATCGGTCAGTAACCTCCGCCTTGAGGATAGCCTAATGATATTTGGGTCTCTGCTTGCTAATCGGTCAGTGACCGCCTTGAGGACAGCCTTATGATACCTGTGTCTCTGATTTCTAAGCGGTCAGTGACTCCCGCCTTGTGGACAGCTTCATGATATTTGGGTCTGTGCTTTGTATAGGTTGTCAGTTGACCACCACCGTTATGTACGGCCTATGGCGCTATGTTTCTTGACCTCTAATCAGTTGGTGCATGACCTCCGCTCTTGAAAACGGAACATGATCCTACGATCCCTGTTCTGTAATCGGTCAAGTAGTTTTTGCCATTTTTCTCTGGTGCATCGCGATACATATATAAGATTTGAAAAAAATCTCATTTAAATCGTGATATCTCATTTGATTTGAAAAAATCTCATTTAAATCGTGAATCATTGTCCATCTTGAGCTAATAAACCAATTGAATGATAATTTGATTTAATATTCAGGGACTTGTGCAGTAAAATTCTTATACATACGACGATGAATATTGATGATATATAACGACAAAATTGCTTGAACTTATAGAAGGTCTTGTTTTTGTCATCCATTCATATTTTACTTTCTGCGCAGCTACAACACGCCCTTCCGGAAGCAGATCCAGAAGTGGGTGAGCGACCTCTCGAGCACCAACGACGTGCTGGAGCGCTGGCTGTTCGTGCAGAACTTGTGGGTGTATCTCGAGGCCGTTTTTGTGGGGGGTGATATCGCCAAGCAACTCCCGAAAGAAGCAAAAAGGTTAGTAAACTTCCATTCATTTACATAAACTTTCTTATTTTAAATGGGATAGAACCTTACTTAAACCATAATATAAAAACCATAATATAAACGCTAGCCTGCTCTTAGTTCATACCAATTAGCCCGGCAACCATTTCTTTGACACTTTCTACGTCCACTATTTTCTACCCTATAGTTTTACTACTCGTCTACTATCAACTCCAACATTTTCGAGTGGCATCAAAGACAAGAACAAAGTTGCATCCATTATTGAAGAGATAAATTTTTCAGGGAAATTTATCTAAAAGTTGTTAACTCCAGGTATAGCTTCCTTTTACTATACGAGCACTATTATGCTCATAATTTAATAGATGAAAAACCCTTAACCTATAACCTAATGCAATGACCACCTCTTAATATGCCCTGGCCTACATACGAAAGTGTGATTTAAAATATTTGAATTCTAATTTTGATTAATTCTACTCCTTTTAATATAATTTCCAGATAGATTTATATTTTTATAACTATATTATTTTAGCATTAAAGCTGTGAACGTTTGCGACGTCATACATAAACGTTAGTGTATTTTCAATGTCTAAAGCTTGGAATTATTTCACAGGTTTTATGTGATAGACAAAAACTGGCAAAAGATCATGGCTCGTGCGCATGACAGCCCCAACGTGGTTACCTGCTGCGTTGGGGAGGAGCTTCTCAACCAACTGCTACCCCACCTCCAGGAGCAGCTCGAACTCTGCCAAAAATCCCTCTCTGGGTAAGGTTTTCTGAAGGCTTTTTCTCTGGTTCTAGGTAAGGTTTTCTAATTTTTTTCTCTCTTCCATCATATTTTCCAGCCTTTTAATTTATGCATAACTTTACCTCCGCCCTGAAAACAGTGAATTTATAAACATTTGATTTGTGTTCATCCCGAATCTTACCGAAAGTATTTTTTATAACGCGGGTTTGAAAAACTTGGACCTGTAAATTTTAGTACTAATTATGTGACTCGCGTTATCTCTCGCTTAATACTATTTCTTCACATTCCAATTTTTCCAAGTGCATTGGAAGGTAAGATGTACGATTTCTTTGTTGCAGATATTTGGAGAAGAAGCGGGTGATGTTCCCGCGATTCTTCTTCGTCTCGGACCCCGCGCTCCTGGAAATCCTTGGACAAGCCTCAGATTCTCACACAATTCAGGCGCATCTTTTGTCCATTTTTGATAACACAAAATTCGTGAAATTTCACGAGACTGACTATGACAGAATAGTAGCCATTGTGTCTTCCGAGGGAGAGGTTGTTCAGGTGCTTTGCTACTTTATATAGTCTCTTGAATTTTTATTCAAGTAAATGAGGTTTGGTAATTTAATGAATTACGCGCCTGGAACATCACTCAGACCATCTGAATAGCAAATACTTTTACTGAACCCGAAGACCATATTAGTCAACAAAATATCAGAATACAAAAGAAACTATATAATCAGTTCCTTTTTTTACATGCATAAAATTTTTCCATGTTGCTATACTTTATTAATTGAACTTATTCTGGTGCCAGCTCGAGAAGCCGGTGCGTGCAGAGGGCAGCGTGGAGCTGTGGCTGATGAAGCTGCTGAAGATGTCGCAGCAGTCGGTACACGGCATCGTCAGGCAAGCCTACCACGTCATTCAGGACCAGGATCTCAACCTGCTGCGCTTCCTAGAGCAGTTCCCTGCTCAGGTAATCAATTTATTTCGTGCAAAGAGAGAAACCGAATGTGAAATGTTTCAGAAAAATAATATTATTTTTATTAATTTCTTTTCGAATGGTCATTGCACGATTCTCGTAGAATAGTAATTGCGGCTAGAATGTATCTAAATATGGGCCTAAATTATATTGTCTTGTTTCATTTTTATTGCCGAGTCGTGGCCTATCACAGGGTTGGTTTTTGACGTTTTCAATTTTTGTATTGCCATATCAACACGATATTATAAAGCTTGTGACGGGCAGGTTCTTCTGTTTCCTTTGAAGAACTGCAAATTTGCTTCTCTAACATAATTTATCAAAAATTATTTTCAATTGGAGAAGTGAAGAGTATCAATTTATTTGTTGGCAGGTGGGGTTGTTAGGGCTACAGATGATATGGACCAGAGACTCTGAGATCGCGTTGTCGCAAGCTCGAGCCGACAGGCGAGTCATGACGGACATGAACAACAGGTTCCTCGACTTATTGAACTTGCTGATCAACACAACGACGCGAGATCTGGAACACGTTCAAAGAACCAAGTATGAAACGCTCATCACAATCCATATCCACCAACGGGATATCTTTGATGGGTTGGTAAGTAACGCCAATAATATTGACCATCTCAATTTAAGATGGTATGTATAGTCGGCATGGAGTTTGACAATAAATTGAATGTAACTCGCTTGGTACCAGGATTTAAATGACATAGTTCGAAAATACCAAACTGCGTTGAAATTGTAACATTTTGTGTGCCAGTGCCGAAATAATGTAAAATCTCCGATGGATTTCGACTGGTTGCGACAAAGTCGGTTTTACTTCAAAGAAGACGCGGACAAGACGTCGATTGCCATCACGGACGTGAACTTCACCTACCAAAACGAGTTTCTGGGCTGCACTGAACGACTGGTCATTACCCCCTTGACAGACAGGTACGACAATAATTTAAGAGTTAAATAATGATAAATTAAATCATATATTTAACACTCTATGACTGCTCAAAATTGTATGATTCATGATAGCTTGAGAAATAAAGACTAGGCTAGATGAGTCTGAAGCAGAAATTATCAACATTTATCTTTTTTGATAGCAAAATATTTTTCATCCGATTTGTCAATGGTGGCTTCACAAGCTTTTGTTTCTGAGCAATCACTGCAATGTGTCCATTTATGTCCTAATTTTTAGTCTGTTCATGTTTCTTGTATTTGATTGCCTCGTATTCATATAGGTAAATTTTTTAACATTATATTTCTTTCTCGAAATACGTAAGCCAGTATTCTAACCTTAATAGTATCTTTTCCTGAGCGCAAGATTCTTAAATTACAATTCCAATCGAATTGCCATCATATAAAATCAGAAGTATTGCACCGTTTCCCCAGATGTTACATCACGTTAGCGCAGGCGTTGAGTATGTGTTGTGGAGGATCTCCAACAGGACCGGCAGGCACAGGCAAGACTGAGACCACCAAAGACATGGGCAAGACTCTTGGCAAGTACGTGGTCGTCTTCAACTGCTCCGACCAGATGGACTACCGCGGTCTAGGACGCATCTACAAAGGTCTTTGTCTGCAGCAGTCAAATTCTTTCGTTTTTTTTGGTTACCCCGATGTAGAAAACTTTATTGTCCACATCAAAACCATGAATGTGCATGAAATAGCTTTTCAGGAACAAAAGATGTTGAATACATATGTCTTGTTAATATCGTCATTATTTTAATTGCACCTTTTCGATTATGTATAAAACTTGTTCCATTGATTGGCAAGTGCGTGGTATTGAGAATGTTTCACCGTTATCAGGCCTGGTGCAGTCTGGATCGTGGGGCTGCTTCGACGAGTTCAACCGCATCGAGCTCGCCGTGCTCTCGGTGGCCGCGCAGCAGGTCGCGGTACTGCACAACTGTAAGCGCGAGCGCCGCCCTAACCTTGTCTTCACCGACGGCGACCTTGTCGAAATGAACCCTGAATTTGGTATTTTTCTCACCATGGTGAGTGGAGGCATGGGAAAGGAACAGTATGAATTGTATTCCAAGTTCTTATTGTAATACAATTATAAATATGTATACAGGTTCATGTTGTTTGACTTTTATAATCTCCATATCACAGTGCTCTTGCGTCTCAGTGAGAAAGCTGGGATAATGTTAAAATTGATCCTAAAAAAAGAAATATCAACGATTCATGATGATTCAGCCTACGATTCATGATTTATTATTTTTAATTATTATTTACATTATTATTATCATTTATTTATTATTTTTAATTAATTATTTACAAGTTTATGCTGTTTTAAGTGACAACTAAATATAAGTTTTAATGTTTGGATCAGGAGTTAATTCGAAACATAAACATGCAAGACGCAAACACATCGGCAGACTGGGCAACATGCATTGTGGAACCAATCACTGTTCTCCCTTCCCCTAATAAAATGTTGAAGGCAGTGCATAATAATCTCTCTAACCTAACCTTCACCCACAGAACGTTCCTCGCAATGTGGATGAGGTAAAGAAATGTTCTGTTTGAAGTATAGGCCATGAAAGCCCACCTTATTTTTCATAAAAGTTTTCGCTGGCGTTTGAAACATTTGGAGCAGATTTTTCCAATGCTGCTCAGGTTTCAATTTGAGAATCCTTCCATGGGGTCATAGAATGCAATGTACATATAATTACTTGTGTAAATACACTTCCTGATGACTTTGACCTGCAATTATTCCGTGTGGAAAATTTTACGATTTTTATAACGTTTCCTAGACATTTTGATGTTTCTTTATAATTGTACAGTTACATTTAAGGTTTGAAAAGAGTATATGCATTTCTAAAACATCAAAATGAATACATTTTTGTGGTAAATTAATTTAGAATTCGTAAAGTCTTCCTGATATTTTTGGATTTTTCCTAATTTGAGCCGGCCACTGCCAAATTTTTGAGCCGGCCACAGCCAACGAAACATGCGGGTGCTGAATAGCATGTTTTTGCACTGAAATTTTTAAGCTTTATGTTGCTTATACTAACGAACAGGAAATTGAGCAGATCCTCAGTATTGTATACATTGATATATATTGATGCTAGTGTGAAATCCGGCACCTGCGGGATTTTTTTCTTCATGAAGCGCCCCGTAAGTTTTTTTTTCTCAAAAAAGAGCCAATAATGATTTACTGAAGTATTTTCTCAACGAGCCTACACCAAATCTAAGCTGCCTGGAGCATCAAATTGAAGAAGTAACTTGTGATTTCTGATTTCAATCAACGGCTATAAATTATAAGACAAATGCCCATCGATTCAATTCATATTTTTACTAGAACTTGGGCTATCACGGTCGTCAAGAACTCCCTGAAAATTTGAAGATCCAATTCCGCAATGTGGCGATGATGGTACCGGACCGACAAATCATCATTCGCGTAAAACTCGCATCTTGTGGATTCTTGGAGAACATCACCCTTGCTCGCAAGTTCTACACGCTCTACAAACTTTGTGAAGAGCAACTCACCAAACAGGTACAAGATGGTTCACATGAAAAGGGTCTAGACTCTAGTGCATTACAATACCTCACGAGTCACGATGAATACTTTTCAACTGAAAACAAATTTTTGATGACTTGAAAATGAGAAAATTGAAACAGATTGGCAGGTTAGTAACTTTATCCAGCAATAATTTATAATGGCATTTAATTTTATCCGTCCGTTCCTTTGTCGGCTTTTCTGATGATTATGCATTCTTTTACTATTATCTTTTTGCAGATAAAAAGATTGTAAATAGAAAACTTTTACTTGTGTGTTTTACGAGCAGGTTCACTATGACTTTGGCTTGCGCAACATACTTTCCGTGTTGCGGACGCTGGGAGCTGCGAAGCGAGCGAACCCAAAGGACCCGGAAGCCGTGATCGTCATGAGGGTCCTCAGGGATATGAACCTCTCCAAACTAGTGGGTGAGTCCGCTGAAAACCCTTTATATTTGCGTCACCATAAAACACGGATTATAAGTCCTGCCCAATGGAGATTTTGATGCAGTGCTTTTGAAATCTGGAAGTTCAAACAATCACATGACACAAAAAATTAACAAAAAACTTTCAGTTTTCTTGTTTCTTCAGATTGACACCTTATGCTTTGAGGAACATTGAAAAATTTCTTACCATAATAGATAATTAACATTTGGTTCAAATCTTTTGCTTTTATAGTATACACTAGGAGAAATAGGTTTGGAAAAATTACATTTCATGATTTTCACGCTAGTAAAATTTTTAATTGTAATTATAATCACGTATAAAGTCTGCTCAGCTCATCGCCTAGACTTGAGAGAATTAGATGAATTCAAGTGCTTCTGCAACGATGTCTTCAACAACTTTGAATTTATTTGCAGACGAAGATGAACCTCTCTTCCTGTCCCTGATCGACGACCTATTCCCGAATATGTCTCAAGAACGTGGCTACTATTCTCAGCTTACAACAGCCATTGCTGAGGTGACGGAAGAGATGGGTCTCGCCAATCATCCTCCTTGGAGGCTCAAACTAATACAGGTTTGTCTAGCCATCGCACTTTGTATGCATGGAGACTTGAGGGTTTAGTTGTATACGAATCACATTCGTTCGATCGAATCAGGACAGTGCCGTTGGGTTATTCTTATCCAACAGCACTTTTTGATTGATTGATTTTCTACAGATTGATTTTCGAAGATAAATTTAAAGAATAACTTAAAATTAGTTCTGAATGGAAGTCTTGTTCTTATGTTTCAGTTGTACGAAACTCAGCGAGTTCGTCACGGCATGATGACATTGGGGCCCAGCGGCGCCGGCAAGACCTCGTGCATCCACGTACTGATGCAAGCCCTGACTAAAATAGGGCAGCCGCACAGGTGAAGGATGGAGTTGAACAGCTTGCACGCTTCAAAATCTATCTGAATGCTGAGAAAGGAATTGAGTCACAGAAAATGAACAGTTTGTGCGCAGATGACGTTTAAAATGTTACGTAATGAACACATTTCAATTTCAGGGAGATGAGAATGAATCCAAAAGCCATCACCTCGGCTCAGATGTTCGGACGACTTGACGTAGCTACTAATGACTGGACGGACGGGATATTCTCCACCCTCTGGCGAAGGACTCTGAAGACTAAAAAAGGTTTCTCTTTGTACATACGTACCATCGTTGTCCGATAAGAGAATATTCGTCCAACTGTGATGTTTTCACATGCTCTGAGGTGCACGATTTTATTTCGATTAAAGCGTCAGACGTAATTACTAGTTGATCACTCGAGTATTTTTATTTAAATGAGCTTGATAGAAAAATATTTAATTAGACTATGTGTTTGAAATCTATCCAGGCTGACTGAATAGCCCTCGCTACAGGTGAGAATGTTTGGATCGTGCTGGATGGCCCTGTGGATGCCATCTGGATTGAAAACCTAAACTCTGTCTTGGACGACAACAGGACTTTGACACTGGCTAACGGGGACCGGATACCCATGTCTCCCAACTGCAAAATCATCTTCGAGCCTGCCGACATCGAAAACGCTTCCCCCTCCACGGTGTCGAGGAACGGCATGGTTTGTAGTAGATTGTAAAACTAACTTTTACTCGAAGATTTCATGATATATTTTCCTGAATTTTCGAATTGAACCATGATGGCGTTTATTTGCTACAGAGTTGACTTGATTTAAATTTTCAATGTACCCAAAACTCCAGTTGCCATTTTTCCATTTATTGATGTTCTACAAATGAACGCGTCCATGTGTGTAAGTTCCAGAGTAAATTATTGAATAGATCTCTAAGATGATATCGAAGTGATGCCTGAACAACTCATAATTGTTTTTTAATAGGTCTACATGAGCTCCTCAGGCCTGGACTGGCGGCCAATATTCCAGGCTTGGCTGAATAACAGACCGCAGTTCGAGCATCAAATTCTCAGCCGTGTCTTCACGGAGCATTTCCAGTCCATCTTCACCTGGGCCAAACAAAACCTGCACTGGAGCCTCTCCGTCATTGAAATCAATGTCATCACGCAGGCACGTTAGAAAACTTTTCGTACGACAATTCATAGTCACACGGTGGTCAAATAAATTTACCGTCCAGAAGTTTTTTTCTCGGCAATCTATCCCACAATTTTGGGTAATCAGCATTGTTTCTTTTTCGGCAACGTTTTGCGTTTTTCTTTTATTCGACAATGATTAATTTTCCGTACCATCATTCCTCTGTCTCTAACGATGATTATTCCTCACCGCATCTAACCATGCATTGCGACTAATTTTGACGTATTTTTGACCTATGGCGGTGATACCAAATCCACACTGATATTTAATTGATTATTTCTGCCCTCGGTAAAATGAACATCAGCTATTGTGTTGGTGTCTATATTCAATAGATTGAGGCGTCCATCTTATTTTTTCATGAAAAGCCTTTAAACCGTGAAGAGCACTTTTTGGGTATTCAGCTAACAAAGCATTACGCGCTTCTCATGTGTAATCGACTCTCACTGAAACCGCCAAGATAAATGAATAACATAAGATGAAGCCGATACATTCATGTGCCAGGAGTCTTAGGGCTGAAGTCGCAGCCTTCCTACCTCGTGTTTTCCGCGTCCCGCGATATTGGCAAGTGGTTAAATGATTCAAGTACAAACTTATGGCATGAAGAATACATTATTTGAGGAGGATAAATGCTTTACTCTCCAGCTACCTGCTGTACTCAAGGAAAAATCTATTAGATTGGAGGTAAAATTCATTGTCTTATTTTATTCTGGTAAGTTCCATATTTTCAGCACGCACTATATGGTAAGAAATTAGAACCTTTATTTTTTGCAACTATTTCGGAGCTCGTGACGATATTCATGCATTTCGCTCTTTCAAGCGTAGTTTCGAATATTTTTATCGGACTTACATGCTCATTCTATTTGATAACATTTTTTCGTCAATTGTTTTATGGTATTTTGTTACGCCACGATTTGTGTGTCAGTTTGCTCAAGGTTTGTGCTACCTCTAATTAACTACCAGATGCTGCGCATGTTGGATGGCCTCCTTCTAAGTGATAGTTGTCTACAAGAAAGCTCCAGAGGAAAGGCCGGCCAAGCCTCGGTACACTCGGGTTACGGTCTTGGTTCAGAAGACGCAATTGGTTACCCTGGTGCTGGCGTCGGTGGTGGAGGCTCGGATACAAACAGTGTCGTGTCGGAGGCTTTCTGTTCCCCGGGATATGACGAAGCCGCGTCCGACACTCAATCCGCGGTGCCAAATATCCACGATAATGACTTGCACCCGTAACCATGCGTGCTCTAATTGTCCTATAAAAGTCCCTAAAATTCTCGGCAATACCGAATAAATAAAGTTTATTTTAAATAGTTTTGTTTAAAAGCTCGTACTTCGTGCGCACTTTAAATGTGCTGGAATTGCATAACTATAACTTTTAATTTCATGCAAGATATTTGTATTTCTAACTAGAATTATTTCTTATTCGTGAAGTCCAGCGTGTGAATCTCTGAAAAAAAAAAATCACCAGAATGCGTAAACGTTGAATTGCAAGTAGTTTGAATAATAATTAGTTGAGATAAGTGGGGCATTAAATAATTTTATTCTTCAGAATGAACAGTGAAGAGCATTCTCGAATAATGTGTAAAGTTACTGTTATAAAAGGAAAAGTGACAAGAAGTACGGAATAAAAATTGCGAACCAACAAGGACCGGTTCTTTAAAACCCGGAGTGATAATCCGTTTGCATGCCGCGTTACTTGACTGGCAGTCAATCAACTATATTCTATTGAAGAAAACCTGTGTAAATAATTCTTGACTGCTAATATTAATGCATTTCCTAATTCGTTCAACACATTCGTTAGAAAATGCGTCCTTAAGTTGAGCTTACAGGATATTCTCACTGGAAGAATAGAATTTCAGTGACAGGTGCACCTAACTTGACACATGTATAACATGACAACTATGACAACTATGTATAGTAGATCATTTTAATGTATATAAAAGCATTGCTAAGTATAAAATATTACGATATAAAGAAGCAGATTTCAGTAAAACCTGTTGCGTTTTTGCTCTCAAATAATATATTTCTTTGTATTTTTTATGGAATTCCTCCCGTGTCCAGAATTAATGGTTTCATGTAGAACATTTTGGGACGAGTCACGGTCCCGCCTCAGGTCAACGGGCCGCGAAGAACGAATTCATTATTTTATCGTTGAGTGATAATTGGCATAAATAGTTTTACCTAAACCAGTTGTCTCCAATAATGATTCTTGTAATTTTGGGTTCAATGTTATGATAATGAAGAAACAAAATCAGGAGCATCAGCCATTGAGGAGAGTTTTGAAGATTACATTTGACAGAACTTTTGCTGGAAGAGCCTTCCATTAATGCAGGATTTAATGCAGTCAGCTTACTTTTCTGGCTTTGAATTTAATTTCATTCACTTTGAGCGCCGCTGTGAATAACATCGATCCATATTAACAACGAGCCTTTGTGATCCTTGGTATTTAATTCTATACATAAGCCTACGCACCATATTAATACGCATGTAAATTACTTGGCATTTGTTCTCATGTTGATTATAATTCTGACAATTATCTCAAATGATGAAAAAAATAGCGCCACTGTATTCAAATGACACGCCGGTGAGAAATGTAAAATATGGCGATAAAGGTGTGGTTTAAAAAATGTTTTACGTATTCTTAATTGCATTTCAAATTTATTGTGAATAACTACCAGTAATTGATTTTTTTTAATTTGTTAATTGTATTGGTGGATCTAAAACTTGCACTTTAAAGTAATGTATTCGTTTGTGCATGAGAAACACGGACTAGACTAACCGCATGCTGCCTACATATTGTGTACGCTTACTAGTCATAGCGAGCCATGTGAAATCTGGCCAAATCTCATATTAGAGGAATTTTGTGCATGAATTGAAATTTTTCGTGTGCAATATGATATTTAGAATTTTTTTCCCTAACATTTTGAGACCTATTATATTTTTGATAATGAGATTTTTGCAAGTATCCTGAACATTAGAAAGGAATTTTTCACGAGCAAATTTTTGAAGTTGGTGTTTTGACGAGACTTTCGGCTTTGGACGATGATTTTTGCGGGTTTAATTATGATTTTTGTGGCAGGTGACTCATCTTCTCGCTGGGACGCTGCCCGAGGAGACGGACTACAACAAACCTCTGCCGAAAGATTACGACCCAGACTCTGATGAACCTCCTGTGAGCAGCTGGATATTAATATCTCTTCGGTTTTCAACGTTACGATTAGTCTTTCAGTGGAACGAACAAACTTATCTCAATATAATAGTCTACAATATTCTGTTTAAAAGAAACGGATGAGTCTAATTATTCAGTTAAACAAATTATCCAGCGTTTATGCAATTCAATTTATGGCATGCGCCAAAAATCCAAGCACTGCTTGCCATTCATTTATCATTCAATATAGGAGGCTGCTGGCCAAAACAAAAAAAAATATTCCTTTTTGGCCAGCTACCATCGTCTACAATCATGTGATAACTATTTGCTCGCCTATCATTAAGCCAACACATTTGAACTTGCAGCCTAAACAAGCCTCCATGGAGGAGCACATCGAGCGGCTGTTCGTGTTCGCGATGATGTGGAGCATCGGCGCCTTCATGGAGCTGCCTGAGCGCCTGCTGCTCCAGCAGCGACTGCTCACCGAGCACAGCAGCCTCAGCTTCCCGGCGCTGCCTGAGGACTCGTACGAAACTATCTTTGACTTCCTCGTCGACGAAAATGGTGAGTGGCATGTTTTGTGTTAGTTGACTTCCTCGTCGACGAAAATGGTGAGTGGCATGTCTAGTGTTAGTTGACTTCCTCGTCGACGAAAATGGTGAGTGGCATGTTACGAGTTACTCACACACAGTAACAGTTTACTACGAGTTACTCACACACAGTAACAGTTTACTACGAGTTACTCACACACAGTAACAGTTTACTACATCAGGTTGGTGGCAGCGGTGGGAGTCGCGGGTTCCGAGTTTCGTTTACCCTGAACTTGGTTCCCTGGATTACATCTCCCTGCTCGTGCCTAACGTTGATAACGTCAGGATGGAGTTCCTCATCCGTACCATCGCTAAGCAAGGCCTCGTAAGCAGCTCATTTACTGTGAATTTCTTTATTAGTTTTATTTACTCGAAGAAAGTCAAATGCCCCTCAAAAATCTTATGAATTGGGTTTCGCTGTCACATTTTGCTTCGAAATAATTCTATGGTAAGTTTAAACCTAAGAACAAGGTTCAGGATCTGAACGTTAGTGAACAGATTATTTGAGATTATTGTTATTGGAGAACTTGTTGAAATTCTCAATGTACACTACCAGTTTTATAGCGTTGCTTTCCCCAATAATAAGCTGGTTTTAGAATTAACTGGGAAAATGTAGTTATCGAAAACATTGACAGGTAAATTATTCTACATTCGAAAAAAATATACACAAAATTTTTTATTTTTCTACTTATGATTTATTGCGGTCAGGGCATTTTACTCATCGGAGAACAAGGCTCGGCGAAGACCGTCACCATCAATGCTTTCTTGAAGAAATACAATCCCGATGAGCATCTCTACAGAAACTTCAACTTCTCCTCAGCCTCCACGCCATACTATTTTCAGGTAATTGTGTTTTTGATACGATTTGTGAAAAGATTTCAATGTCTAACTTTCCGCTCTGAATGAAACTTGTATATGAAATTGTAGTTGTCAGCAACGATTGGGCCATAAGTTAAAGTAACTACATCAAAGATAATTAAATTAATCTCGTAGAGGACCATAGAAAGCTACGTGGACAAACGCTTGGGAACAACCTTCGGACCTCCCGCTGGCAAGAAAATGTCCGTGTTTATAGATGATATCAACATGCCTCACTTCAACAGCTGGGGAGATCAGGTGAGATATGTCGATCCCAAGTTAAGATTAACTATGTTATTTAGTAAAGGTTTAATTTCTCCTTATGCTGCTCTCCGTTACTGCTATTTCGATTATTTTTCATAAAGCGATGATAAAAATGATATAAAAAATATTTCGGATTATTTATAATATCTTTGCAAAAATCGAATTTTTTAATCCTTTAATCACTAAAATCGTCTTGAATCGTTTATTGAGTTATTGATTATTTGTACAGCCCACGAACGAAATTGTTCGTCAGACGTTGGAGCAAGGGGGCTTCTACAGTCTGGAAAAACCTGGCGAATTCACTAAGATTGTCGACATGCAGTTCCTCGCAGCCATGGGACACCCAGGTACTGAGTTTGTGTACATTTTTTTATTACGTAACACTTCCAATGTCTTCTGGTTTGTACTCTATTGTTATGCTAAAAATGTTAGCGCCATTGCTTAAATTCAATTTTTGCTGTCAAAATGATTAATAAATGTTGCTGAAGGTGGAGGACGAAACGACATACCTTCCCGACTGAAGCGTCATTTCTGCATCTTCAACTCGACGCTTCCATCGGACCAGTCCATAGACAAAATATTTGGCAGCATAGCACGAGGTCACTTCAACGCGAAGCGTGGCTTCACATCGGACGTCAGGGACGTGGTCGAGAAACTTGTTCCCCTCACGCGCATCATTTGGACTGCCACAAAGGTGGCAGTACTAAGCATGCTTAGGAAGGAATTTTCATTATATTGAAATATGGTTCATTGAACGCAAAAATTTATGGTTCATTATGTTTCACCGATTCAAAATTTTTTTAATTCAGTAACTTCCATAATTTTGAATGACTTATTTATCAAAATAAATTGGGACTCTACAACTTTATATGTGAAGAACTTTTGCATACATGAAATTTTTACCTTCATCAAGATGAATGTCACGATCACAAAAATATATCGTTTTATAAACAATACTGAATCTTGCTCACATACTTATGCCCCGCAGCTGAATTTACTGCCGACACCTGCGAACTTCCACTACGTGTTCAACCTGCGGGACCTGTCGCGCATCTGGCAGGGGATGCTGAACGCCACGAGCAACGTGGTCACCACGCCTAGCCTCCTCATCGCCATGTGGAGGCATGAGCTCGCCAGAGTGATCTCGGACAGGTAAGCTGTGCGCCACTGGCACGGTTATATCTTATTCTAACCGTCGTTTATTCAATAATATAATAAATATAAAATATAAGATTAATATATAAGATTAAATCGTGATATTTTTTGATCTCAGACAGGTAAGCTGTGAGCTACGGCACAATTCTATCTTATTATAACCGGCGTTTATTCAATAATGTAATATATATAAAATATTATATTAAAATGTTAGATTAAATCGTGATATTTTTCATCTTCGGTGTGATCTCAACAACTTCATTATCTCGTTGACGGCCTGTCTATCTGATATTAGATGCAAATCGTGATAGTGTCGTTCGTGAGTTCAATTAATCAACTTCATTATCTCATGATATCTCACCGGCAGCTTGCCTATCTGACCAATCCTAGAAGGTTGAATGCTTTTAAGGCGATGAGTTTTTTGCGCTTGCAGTAATGCAATGTTGGAAATGAATAATGTACCTTTAAAACGGTTTCATGTGTTCGTAATTTATTATTTCATTCCAACCGTAGCAAAGTTATCAAATAAAATGAACTTATGAATTCCACTGCTATAATTTCTCATCAACATGCGGACAAGTCGCATTACTCGAATATTCCGCTATATAAAGGTTGAGTTACTGCAATTTATAACGAGAAATTAAAAAGGCTGTAACTATTAAATAACAAAGAGATGTAGTTTACGTTATTGGAGTGAATCTTCTGCAGAGATCATTTTACTATGCAGTCTCTGATTCATTCACCCTCTAGTGTAGAAAATGGTGAAAATATCTCGTTCATGGTTATTATTATCAATAGTAAACCTTTCAAGTACATTTTGCACAACAAGTTTGGTGCTTGTAATTTCTGTCACAAGTCGATGGCGTTATCACAGCCTCATTATTGTCTCCCTGTAAATAGAGGATCTCTCGATTTCTATTTATCTGTATAAATTTCTTTTAATCCAGCTTTTATGTATCCTCTCTATCATAGTAATCATTTAATTTGAATGTTTAAAGCAAAGAATTATGTTTAAAAGGAGTCGCTTATTAATTAGGCTTGAAATTTTTAGTTTTTGTATTACCACAAGTAATCTAAATCTTAGGTTCAAAACCCGTAGACTGATTTTGGAATCAATAAAATTGTTCGGTCGCGTCAATTTTGAATTTATCCAATATGAAGTGATGCTTAGTTTAATTTGTCGTCGAGATCACCCGATCAGCTGTTTCCATCCATGATGGGAAAACCTTTCAAATAATAATTATCTTGATGTATGCCAGCATTTTGCCGGCAGAAATAAATAAAATTAAAACAAAATTCTAATAGTGGACTAAAAATTTCCGATAAATTAAGTAAAGCTGAACTAAACAAACCGTTAAGAAAAAAATTCGGCGTATCCTCCTCAGGTTCACCACCTCGAAAGACCTGAAGTGGTTCGACGAAATCACTGAATCTCACGTCACCGAACATCTCGGCGAGGGAGCCAGACGATGCGTGACGAAGCAGGAGTATTTCGTGGACTTCCTGAGGTGATCTCGAACTTTGAGATCCCATTTCAATTAAGTGTTCTGCCTTCGTTTTATCTGCAGCATTAATAGTAGTTCTATTGTAATAATAATTTGAGACTCGGTATATTAGGCATTGCTTTAATCATGAATCTAATGAAATTTTTAATGAGTGTTAGAGAAATTTATTAGCATAAGTTAGTGAGAGAAAGTTATTAGAGACATTAATGTTTAAATGCTGTAGACTTCTTGACTACAATATGTACCATATTCTCGTTAATAACTCAACTCAGTTCAATCTCGCTAGATGAAAAATTTGTTCCCAAGAAGTGGACTTGAGTTGACATCCTATAAATATATATCCGCTTCAAGAATTGCCCTTTCATTGGCTATAAATGATAGCATTTAAATATAATTATTCGTGTTTAAACTTCGATAATAGAGACGCTCCTGAACCTACTGGTGACGAGGGTGAGGACGCGGACATGGAAATGCCGCACGTGTATGAACCCATTCCGTCTTTTGATATTCTGGCGGAGAGGCTGGAAATGTTCCTGTCCCAGTACAACGAGATGGTGCGCGGCTCTGGCATGGATCTGGTGTTCTTTAAAGACGCCATGGCGCATCTTGTGAGAGTGAGTACAGAGTTACAGGGCGTTAGGGCGGTGCCTGATGTTCTCTAGAGACGCCATGGCGCATCTTGTGAGAGTGAGTACCGAGTTGCAGGGCGTTAGGGCGGTGCCCGGTGTTCTTTAGAGATGCCATGGCGCATCTTGTGAGAGTGAGTACCGAGTTGCAGGGCGTTAGGGCGGTGCCTGATGTTCTCCAGAGACGCCATGGCGCATCTTCTGAGAGTGAGTACAGAGTGCAGGGCGTTAGGGCGGTGCCCGGTGTTCTTTAGAGATGCCATGGCGCATCTTGTGAGAGTGAGTACCGAGTTGCAGGGCGTTAGGGCGGTGCCTGATGTTCTCTAGAGACGCCATGGCGCATCTTCTGAGAGTGAGTACAGAGTTGCAGGGCGTTAGGGCGGTGCCCGGTGTTCTTTAGAGACGCCATGGCACATCTTGTGAGAGTGAGTACCGAGTTGGGAGAATGAGTACCTTTTTGCGATCATGTATCTCTTGGAGGTCCCGTACCACAGCTCTCTACCACCTGGTACCACAAAACTTTGATATTATCATTCTTAATGAGCTGAGAATTTACATAAGAGGATATTTGGTTTTAATGAAGAATGCCACTCACCAGCTAGGGCCTGATGAGTAGCATGTGAAAACAATTACAAGTCGTGGCTAGATTATGTATTGTTGGGCATTTAACACTTATTAGAAGCAAAATGAAAACAATACATCGTTTGGCATTAAAAGTCTTCACATCTCAGCAGTGGTACGCAAACTGACGAAAATAAGTTCATGGCGAGGACAGGTAAATGACATACTCCAGATTCTCATTTGAATTTATTCAAAAGGAAACAAAAGCCGTAGTCGCCCGTCCACTGGAGAGGTAGAAGAAAGTTGTGCCCCCCTCCGTTATCATGAACATCTTGTCACGACATTCATCCTATGAAATTAAGGGTTAATCGTTTTAGAACTAGAATCACTTATAGTTCAGAATTCGAAGCAGAATCACTTATCACTTTAACACTAGAATCAGTTATCACTCCAGTTGAAGAACCGGCTAGAGGCTGAGGACTGTCATCTCGCGGAGTAGGAACTACGCAGAACGGACAAAAATAGACCACGCGAGACGACACAGGGACGAGTTGAATGTGTGAAGGTTGAAGTGAATCTGTCTGTTGCCGGCCAGAGATGCAAGATTTTTGCTTTGCTGCAGAGAAAGCCTCGGAAGCAGTGAGAAAAGTCGCAACCAGCCCGGCCGCTAAATGACTGCTTGAATAGAATTATTAGAATTGACAATAATAACGTTAATTTAATAAAGGAGGAAGGTTAAGATCGTTCTCAATGGTTTACAAAAAGGGATGGATGTATAAGAATGAAGACATATGCACGAAAGTTTGTAACCTTTCCGACACAAACAACTTCATACAGGTTCGTACTAAACACAAGCTAGTGACTGAGAGACTTGATTTGCATGGCGTGTAAGTGACCGATGAATTTTAGTTAAGATTTATAAAGAGAGTTTCGACGGGTAAAATAATTTCCTTTGGTTTCAAGTGACGAGCAATTCGGCAGTGAGGAAACGACAATTAAGTTATCGATGAATTATGTTCAGAAGTTCATGAAAAGTGATCAATCGGTTACCGGTATCCAGAGCTGGGCAGCGCTACTTTGAAATGTAGCGGCCGCTTCCGCTACCGCTACTTGCTCTAAATGTAGCGGGCGCTACCGCTACCGCTACAATTGCTTAAATGTAGCGCCGCTACCTCTACTGAAAATTTAGCGGCCGCTAGTAGCGGCCGCTACATGTAGCGCGCTACTGCCCACCTCTGGTAACAACTAACGTGTTGACACTAGTAACAGGCTGAGGTTGACAACATTACACCGAAATCTTTCGTGCAGTGTTATTCTTTAATTTATATTATGTTTGTATCATGCTGATTTTTAAATAATATTAATACTATTAAGTAAAATCTGAAGGCTTTATCTATAAATGTAGCGGGCGCTACCGCTACCGCTACAATTGCTTAAATGTAGCGCCGCTACCGCTACTGAAAATGTAGCGGCCGCTACATGTAGCGCGCTACTGCCCACCTCTGCCGGTATCATGGTGAATGTTTCACTACCTCAATAATTATTGTTTCAAAGAACATGTAAATGAAAAAAACGAAAATTGAAATTCAACTGGACGAACTGATAATAGATTCAGATCTAAGATTATATTGTCTTCATGTAATTCCTCGCGTCATCTTCATCTTCTCATCGTGTAATCTTCTCGTCTTCATCTTCATAAATTCAATATTTAAGCACGGTTGTTGAAAATATATAAATATATATTTTCTTTATAACAAACATGTGCTGCGGATAATTGTGTGCCAGTTATGGTTTTGGTTAAAATTACTTGGTCGACCATTATTCCGTGACACGCGAATAAGTTGCATCAATGTTTCTCTAACCCCACGTAATATATCATTAAATAACTAGGCTATTTAATTTTCTGTTGCTCGTTAGATATCCCGCGTTATTTGTAACCCCGGCGGCAACGCTCTGCTTGTGGGGGTTGGTGGCTCCGGCAAACAGTCGCTCACTCGCCTGGCTTCCTTCATTGCTGGCTACAAGACTTTCCAGATAACACTTACCAGGTCAGCGTGAACACTTACCAGGTCAGCGTGAACACTTGCCAGGTCAGCGTGAACTTAGAAGGATTCTGACGCCGCAAAGTGCATTTTCAATATACTCGAGGTTTGTAATAAATGCAAATTATTCACATCCTATCTATATTATTTCTAACGAAAACAATCTAACGGTTTAAGGGAATGAAATTTATTTTTTTTAATGATGTGTGTTACTTTGGGGTGTTTTCTTTCAATTTTCAAACCGTTTGTTGTTTTAATTTGAATTCACGATTAATATGAACTTGCCTTAAAATTAATGTTCGTTTACGCAAGCAGTTCAAAACCTTTTGTTGCATGATTTCACGTTTCATTCTTTCCAAAAAATGATTTGAATAAACTGTATTAAAAATTCTATCAAATTCTGTATTGATTGTTCATGTGTAATAAAGTTGATGAAATCTTCGTAGTTTCGGAAAATGAGGCTCGTGCAGCAAGCGAATATGTATGAATAAAAGTATTATTGTCATGGTGGAAAAAATATATATACTGAATATTTTTTATTACTTTGACTCATTTTAGCTATTTTTTCCCGCCCAGGTCGTATAACAGCGCCAACTTACTGGAGGATCTTAAAGTCTTGTACAGAACCTGCGGAATACAAGGGAAAGGCACCACGTTTATTTTCACCGACCAGGACATCAAAGAAGAGAGCTTCTTGGAGTACCTCAACAATGTGCTTTCGTCTGGTAAAAGATTTGCCTTTTGAATTTGAAAGTCTTTATTTTCTAGTGTAAATTTTTGGCAGAATTTTCTTTGCAATTTCTAATTTGTCTTATATCTACAGAAAAACCGACATAGAGCATCCCTAGCAAGTAATATCTCGCAGGAAATTTCAGTTAAGTAAACATGATAGACGCGTTTAGTATTCTTCTTCAAGTTGGCAGTAATTGTCTACTCCATTATTTAGGGATGAATTTTCTGGAGAATGTGAAGGTTGATTTAGCCATTGTAATCATTCTCTCCAAAAGTGCGACATAATGCACTGTATGATCGAGAAACTTTTGTAGCGATATTCAATTTAAAGCACTGTATATTAAACGTAAAACATTTGCTATGTTATGAGTGCGCGCGGAAAAAACGTTGAAATCTATTCATAAGCTCGTTGATGGCGTTGTTTGCAGTTGTGAGCTTTCATTTCAGTTGGGTACATGTTTTTTTCAAGATACAAAATGCGGTTTTGTATAACACTAACCGACTACAAGCTTCTTCACAACAGACATTACAAGTGATTTCTTCAGTCAAATGACCAAGGCTTTGCCAAAATTTTATTATGATTAAGTTATATTTATTTGCAGGTATGGTAAGTAACCTCATGAGTCGATTGGAGGTAGGTGTGAAAGAGGTAAATGGAGTAATAATGATTACTGATTGCAGGCATAGTAAGTAATCTTTCGAGTTAATTAAATGCAGGTGTCACAAGAGTGAATGGAGTAATACTGATTACTGATTGCAGGCATGTTAAGTAACCTCATGAGTTAATTGGATGCAGGTGTCACAAGAGTGAGTGGAGTAATACTGATTACTGGCATGGTAAGTAATCTTTCGAGTTAACTGAATGCAGGTGTCACAAGAGTGAAAGAAGTAATACTGATTCCTTTTTCTCTCAGGGATGGTGAGTAACCTGTTCAGTCGAGACGAGCAGGCGGAGATCGTCTCCGAGCTTCTGCCCGTAATGAAGAGGGAACACCCCCGCCGGCCTGCGACGCCTGAGAGCGTCATGGATTTCTTCCTGCAGAGAACCAGACAGAACCTGCATGTGGTCCTGTGCTTCTCACCTGTGGGTTATTTCAAATTTTTATTTTCAAGTATTTAACTTTCTACCGCCTGACATGAGTAACCGGAGCAATATTGTCACAAGCCTACTTCCCAAAAAGGATGCGTTATAGTGAGCGCAAAATGACTTGCACCGATGGTTGCCGCCACGTACGACAACTTTAAAATGTTCTCTGTTGCGTACAAACGTCCTCAGGTTGCTACACTCAATAGTTTACGTATAATTTAAGTTGAAAGTTATGTTCCCGGAGAGTGATATACGGCGGTAGAGGGCTAAGTATTTTAATTTTTTCTAATTTTAGCTTATGCAACTTTCTACAATAAGCATATTGTGTAGTTTTCATTCGTCGGGAAATAATTTGAGTGACTGATCACGGTTAAAATGAGTGAACAAACTTGGCAATTTAGCGAGATATTTTGAATTACATTGTTTTTTTTTTTGCTAAAGTCCTTCTCATGCGTGAGGCTATTGCAAACATGTTCTCTTTTGAACAAAGAAAATTTAAAAATTATGTCTATGATGAGAAGAGAATCCACTCAAACGATCTTCTAAATTTTTGTGAGCGCGTCGTGTGATGTATGTGCTACATTAATGATACCCTCATTATAGATACGATAATGATATCCTAATACGAATTCCTTAATTTGTTAGGTAGGAGACAAATTCCGAAGCCGTGCAATGAGATTCCCCGGTCTTATAAGCGGCTGCACCATCGACTGGCTGCAGCCGTGGCCGCGCGACGCTCTCGTCGCCGTGGCCGATCATTTCCTTCGCGCCTTCGAGATCATCTGCAGCGACGACGTGAAGGCCAACCTCGTCAAGTGTATGGGGTCCATGCACGACTTGGTGGCGCAGCTCTGCCACGAGTATTTCATGAGGTTCGTGATTGTTTCTCAATATCAATAAATATCATCTTGCGCTCTAATTTATGATGCATTTTTGCATTTTATGTGTAAAAGAATGTTTCTCTCTAATGCTTCTTAACAATTTGGAGAATATAAACCTCAATGAAATGCATGTTGTGTCCATTATTCAATGATGGAGCAACTCTAGCCAATGTTAGAACACATACAAGATTCGTCTAGCAGCTAGATAATGGGAAACTCGACCTAACTGAATCATTAAATAATATTCACCGTGATGGAATATTAATCATATTACGTATAACCGTGTTCAAATGTTTCCACTTCACAGGTATCGTCGCGCTGCTCACGTGACACCCAAGTCGTACCTATCGTTCATTTGCATGTACAAGAAAATTTACTCAGACAAGCGACAGGAAATTGGCGACGCGGCGGCCAGGATGACGTCTGGCCTCAACAAGCTGCAGGAGGCGTCCGAGGCCGTCGAGAGGCTCAAGGAGGAGCTGTTGGTGATGGAGGGCGAGCTGGAGGTGGCCTCGCTGCGAGCTGAGGAGGTCGGTATGATCCCCAGTGAAAATTTACAGACGCGTCAGCTTCTGATTTGGATTACCAGAAGCTGGGGCGACTCTGAATTTTGTTACCCAGTGAATATTTACAGACGCGTCAGCTTCTGATTTGGATTACCAGAAGCTGGGGCGACTATAAATTTGGATTACCAGAAGTTGGGGCGACTATAAATTTTGTTAGGGGAGGAGCTTGTGAATATTTTCAATTGATATTTTTTAGCGTTGACTTTTCATGTGCAGAATATTCATACTATTTTTTCGCAATTCATGTATATATATTTAAAACTTTCTGCCAAATTGTGAATAATTCTTCATTTAACAGACACTCGTGCAGTATTTGTTTATTTTATCCGGATTAAATGTTGTCTTGAACAGACTAAGTACGGGAATGTTGTAAATATATGAGCATACTATATGCGCTGTTTGGTAAATGTTTGAGAATTGTTAAAAATTATAAAGATAAACAATATAGTACGACTGTTTGATGGACATTATTATGAATGAAACGGTCATTAAATTAATTTTGTTGAACTATTTGTTAGTGAACCATCAATATTGACGTTTCTGGCATGAATCTTGATTAACCGTGAAATTATTCTTTCTGATGATATTATGATGTCGAAAGAATTCATGATTTATATCCTTATGTACCGTTAAATCTTGGATTCTGATGAAATTTTAGAAGAGTGTTGATTACGAATTCCCATCAGATCTTAATTACTCGTGAAATCTTAATCGATTGGATCCTGAAATATGGATATTTTGCGAGTGGATATTGCAGATCCTGAAAGAAGTGACGATCAGAGCAGAAGAAGCGGAGAGCATCAAGGTGGCGGTGGAGAAGGTGCGGGACAAGGCGCAGGTGCTCGTGGACTTCATCGCCAAAGACAAGGCGTTGGCCGAGGAGAAACTGGAGGCGGCGCGGCCAGCGCTGGAGGAGGCCGAGGAAGCTCTTAACACCATCAAACCTGCGCATATTGGTGGGTGATCAACTTAACTTGATTCCGTTGACCACTGTATGGTGATATTTATTACACAACATCTCCTGTAAGTGATCGCAGATGATGTGGTCGTTTAAAATTAATTTAGAAAATTCAGAATTATAATTTTAGTTATCAGTATACCTCTTATTATGCATAACTATATTAGAGCTTTGCATTGACTAATTTATTTCTATGTTATTATTTACAGTTGATGAAACTTTTTGTGCTATTTTTCCAATAATTTATTGGATTACCTAGTAAAATGTACTTGTTTTCGGTGGCATTAGAAACTTCTCCAGAAAAAGTTTGATTATTATTGGGTTTCAAAAGTTAGATTATTATAATAGTATTAGGCTCTGTTTGATGACCGAAAACTCCAGAAGTTTTTAAAGTCACTCACCATCCAGATTTGGAGCAAATGCTAATAATTACACGTATAATAGCAGAACGTGTGATCGTCTGGAAACTTTCTCTGAGAAATGGTTTCGTATAAAACCAAATCCAAAGACTGCAACTTGATTAATTTGAAGTGATTAATTTCAAGTCTTTCTTCAAGTACGACGTTTCCAGCCTTGGCTGAATCAATCTATATTTCTATTTATAAAGGTGACTTGAAATGTTTCACGAATTTTAGCTCGGCGTGAACGGTTTCATGATCTTACGGTGTTTGTTGGCAGCGACTGTGCGTAAGCTTGGGCGTCCTCCGCACCTCATCATGCGCATCATGGACTGCGTGCTCATCCTCTTCCAGCGCCGCCTGCAGCCCGTCAAGGCTGATCCTCTCGTCGCCTGCCCCCGACCCTCGTGGCCTGAGAGTCTCAAGGTGTGTGGAGTCTCGTGCCATGGCGAATTTTCCTCACAGCCTTCCCTCTTGTCGTGTTCCTAGAAATTAATTTATCTAAGATTAAATCAATGTTTGGTATTCCAGTCTACCGGTCCTGTTCCTCGTTGTCTGCTGTTATTAGTTCCTAGAAAACTCTAACGTCTCAATTTCAATTTTAAGTATCATTACCGCAAAATCTCATCTCAAAGTTTAATTTCTCAAAGTTCCAATTAGACTTTTCCTGTCCTGTCTACCTTGAATATTTCGCTCAGAGTGCAAGAATCAAGAACTTAGTTCAGTTAGTGATCATTGTTTTATTCGAGCACTGTATGCTCTGCTTTGTTCAATAAATCGCATTCAAACTAGACAGTCACTTGGACGCAGACGAGAAGTAACCTAAGAGAGCTATATAATCAGTGACAAGCGGGAGCCATCACTTGTATGAACCGACTATTTATATTGTAGCACAATGATTGTTTTTTCTCGATGAGAATATTTTATTTCACGCTTCAGATGATGGCGAGCACTACGTTCTTGCTTTCGCTGCAAAATTTCCCGAAGGACACCATCAATGACGAGGTCGTGGAGCTCCTCGAGCCTTATTTTAACCTTGAGGATTACGACATGGACACGGCGAGACGAGTCTGCGGGGACGTCGCTGGACTCCTCTCGTGGACCAGAGCCATGGTTGCCTTCTTCACGGTCAACAAAGAAGTTTTACCGCTCAAGGTATGCATTAATGTTACACAACATTAACACTAACTGCTCAACATTCAACAACATTAACTGCTGTCAATGCTATTACTATGCAGAGGCCTGGTAAAACGTAGGCTACCAAGAGTAGACGATGGATTACACATTGGAAATATATAAGGTTTGCATCACGCTAAATTTCAGGCGAATTTGGCACTGCAAGAAGCGCGACTGCGCGTTGCAATGGGTGATTTGGCACGAGCTCAAGCCTCCCTGGACGAGAAGGAGCGCGCGCTGGAGGAAGTCCGTGATCAGTACCAAGCTGCCCTGGCAGACAAGCAGAGATTGATGGATGCTGCCGATACTTGCAGACGCAAGATGCAGGCCGCAGTCACTCTTATCAATGGACTGGCTGGAGAGAAAGTTCGATGGACTGAACAATGTTTAGACTTCAAACATCAGCTGGGAAGGTAGGATGTGCACGATTTTTATGTAATTTTAGCGCACGAAAGCCACGGAAGAAATTTGTAACTAAAACTTAATACCAATGGTTCCTGCAAAAGTCTACATTAAGAAATTATGATTGATGCGTGTTCACCATCCATCAGCAAGAGAGCAAAATAAGTTCGACTAGGAAAAACTAATTTCTTTTATTTCATTCAATGAGAGAAACTTTGACACAGCGAAACTTAAAAAAATTCACGGTATCCTGTGATTTTAAGAGATTAATGACGTTTTCACCGTAGGCTTGTGGGTGACGTGTTGATCACCACGTGCTTCCTTTCATACGCCGGGCCCTTCAATCAAGAGTACAGAACAAAAATGCTCGCCACGTGGAAAGGAATGCTAAACAGCCGCCAAATTCCGTTCACCACCAGTCTCAATATCACCAACTGGCTGGTTGACAACGCCACGGTAAATTCCCTCTTCTGTGGAACTGAAACTTGTATTTTACTCGTATTTACGCCGCAAATACGAAATTTGATCCATCAGGATATATGCAATTCTCCTCTAAAGACTACAACGAGTAAAATTTTCCAGCTTGAAAAAACAGTGAAATTGCTAAATTCAGATTTGACTGATTAATGGTAACGTAACGGTTACTTGAATCCATACTGAACGCAGGCTTACTACGACTCTGCTCACAAAAAACAGGGTTTTATAAATAGTAATAAAAATTACCTAAACCAGAATTCAACTAGTGTCCGTGAAAGATAAATACCAACGTAAAACTTTTTTGAAACACGAAACAAAAAAATCTACCGATTTATCTTCGAAAGGTTACGGAATGGAACTTGCAAGGCCTTCCGAATGACGAGCTGAGCATCCAGAATGGCCTCATTGTCACCAAGGCTTCCTGCTACCCTCTGCTGATAGACCCTCAGGGACAAGGCAAAAATTGGATCAAAAATCGTGAAAGCAAAAATGAACTCCAGGTGAATTGAGACTTGAAGTTATGAAAATTTGGCTTATTTATTCTACGAGTAAAACTTCTCCTTGGTTTTCTAGAGTCGCTAGTGTGGTATAAGCTTGTGAGAACAATATAATAATTTTGTCCTCGCTCAGATAACATCTCTGGAACACAAGTATTTCCGAGCCCACCTCGAGGACTCCCTGTCGCTTGGCCGGCCTCTGGTCGTAGAAGACGTCAGGGAGGAGCTGGACCCTGTGCTCGATAACCTCCTCGATAGGAACTTTATCAAATCAGGATCGATTCTCAAGGCAAGTTTTGAAAAATTTTCAATTTACTGGTCAAGTACTGGACACTAGAGAGCAGAATGTATCGCGTTCCATGTCAAAATATCAAAATAGTGCAAATTATCCGTGATTATAGTATTTAACCATCACGTGAACAATTCAATTTTCCTACTCCTTGATTTTATTACCTAAATACTGTAACTATAACATAGTGCATGCTATTCTTGTCGTAGTGCATGCTTTTCTCGGTTGACAGTTACTCTGGCAGTTCAGTGACTTTATGAAATAAATACAGATAAATATAAATACCCGTTCGTAAATTTTTCTCTCGCGACTCAGCATTAGGTACTGTGTCCGCCTCGTATATAAGACGCTTCAAACTTATACAGGTTGGTGTTGGAGACAAAGAGTGTGATGTGATGCCTGGTTTTATGCTCTACATCACCACTAAGCTACCAAATCCTGCCTACACTCCGGAAACAGCAGCAAAAACGTCCATCATCGACTTTACCGTCACGGTTCACGGGCTGGAAGACCAACTGTTAGGTAAAATTAGGCATCTCGTCTGATAGAACACGGTATTTTTTTCCACTAAAACAGCTTCAAACAATCCATGATAACATCTATGTTTAGTTACTGAAATAAGAACCGAAGACAGGTCTTCATGGAACGCAGAAGTAAATTAGAAAATTTCTCGATCTCGATGTTTTTCCCGGTGAATATTTGGAAATGGAAGACTGTGACTTGTATGTGGAACCTCCAAAATATTGCTGGTGCTCAGATAAAACCGAACGTTCAAGTACGACTGAATTTTTGCTGCCTAACAAGATTCAGTGAGACTGGATTTATGTGTCAATTTTGATTCCTAATGAATTGACTCCTGTGAAATTTATATTTTTTTAGGTCGAGTTATCAGAACGGAGAAAAGTGAACTGGAGAAAGAGAGGATCGCTCTCATCCAGGAGGTGATGGATAACAAGAGAAGAATGAAGGAACTGGAAGACAATTTACTCTTGCGGCTGACATCCACCCAGGTGCGTGTTGTGTTATGTGTGGGTATACTATGTGCTCACGGTGAATGCATCCATTTACTTTTTATTCATTCAAGAGAGAATAAAAAACAGTTGAAAGTCTCATCTTCAAAACTGCATGATGAGATAGCATAAAGTCATGTTGATACGTTGTCTAGCGCTCGTATGTATTTTTAGGATTAATTTTGTAGAAATGATTGTTTTAATCCGATGCTATATATGTGGTGCACGTAATTTTATGCTCAAAACCACTCGCAACATTACTCTTGTAATGTCTTCGTGACTGCATCTGTACAAATCAAACAATGCCATGTACTTCATCTGGTTGCCCGTGTTTTTAGTTTAGACATTTTTTGCATCACTGCGAACTCGACTATGTTTTTTTTCGTTGTGAAAGAGAGGCGCGTATGTTTGTGGTTCGTGTTTGATATTGCAATTTGCATATATATGTTCACATATTCCAATGAATTGTGCTAGAAATTTTCGCCTTACGCTGAAGATACGTGAACTTGCTCGCACCTCATATTTTGCATCAATTAAATTGTTCTTGAGTCTCAAATTTGATTATTAAACGTTTTTTTCACACAGGGCTCGCTAGTGGACGACGACGATCTTATTGTGGTGCTACATGAGACTAAGGCCACTGCAGAAGATGTCAGCCATAAGCTCCTAGTGGCCGCTGAAACCGAACTTAAAATTAACGGAGCCCGGGAAGAGTACCGAGCCGTGGCTGCCAGAGGCTCCATCTTATACTTCCTCATCATGGAAATGGTTGAAGTGTCGTGCATGTACCAGACGTCCCTCAGACAGTTCCTGACACTCTTCGACACAGCTTTGCTCAAGTGAGTCTATTTGACACAGCTTTGCTCAAGTGAGTCTATTTGACACAGCTTTGCTCAAGTGAGTCGCGATTTAGCCTTTATCAGTCAAGTATCGTGTGAATCACTAATATCTGTGATTCAATCGTATACTGCTCTGAATTGTTAATGGTGTAGAGTGACTTAGAAGTTTCTTTGGTTTTCACTATAAGTATTCCAAGATCTGTTCAAAAATTGCTCGCAGCCGTTGAATTGTACTCATGATATGTGTTCTAAGCCATTGATTATGTCTAGAAAAACTCGCTTCTGGACAATGGTGAGGTGAGGGAAAACAATTTTATCGAAATTTTGGGTAATTAGTATTATAAAAAATTCTCTTGATATTTAATCTGTTCAGAACATGCAGAATAATCTCGCGATAAACGCTAATTACCAAAATTATATTTAACGTTCAGCTTGTAAAGAAAGCTTCTGTAAAACAAATCAGAAGTTCATTAAAAAATGTTCATCGCTTCACAAAAAATTAAAAATTTTAGGTGTCATTTTCATTCTTTTCCTTGACTCGGTGCTGCGGCCACTTTTCAGAGCTGAGAAGAGCTCGATCCCCCGCAACCGCATCTCTAACATCATCAAGTATCTGACATATCAAGTGTGGCGTATCGCGTGCCGTGGCTTCTACGAGCGACACAAGTTCCTCTTCACGCTCCTGCTCGCCATGAAGATCGACATGCACCGCGGTCACGCCACGCACGAGGAGTTCATGACTTTCATCAAGGTTTGATGAAAATTTCGCTTTAATCTAGCTGGAAATTTTTTATGAAAGTTTCATCTGTGTTCTAGCTGGAAATTTTTGATGAAAATTTCATCTTTGTTCTAGCTGGAAATGTTTGATGAAAGTTTCATCTTTGTTCTAACTGGAAATTTTTGATGAAAATTTCTTATTTGTTTCTAGCTGGAAATTCCCGCAGGGTTTTAGTTTTAAAATGTAACTGTAAAGTGTGTTGTCGTATAGTTATAATGTTATACTTTGTTACGAAATAGTAATTTCGAAAAAAGTTGTGCAAAAGGTGATTTTTCGAAATAAAGTATTGATGAAGTACGGTATGTTCATATCATCAATGAATATTCATCACTTTGACCAGTTTAGGAACCAATTTTCAAATTCTGAAATCAAATGATTGATGATGATTCCTAAAATTTACTCCATCGATTTTATGATTCATGAAAATGTAACAATTGATTCCGTACATTACTGCAAGCCACAATTTGGAAAGCCACATATTAGTTTATATACATGAACTCCTATTAAGACATTAGGTCGGAATTTATTATATATTCACGATTTAATTACTGTGAATATTTACAAATAATAAATATTTATCATTATTTGAGATAATAAATAGTTATTTATTATCTCGAAACTTGTAACCTCCAAGAGCTAATGAAATATTACAATTGACGTTCATTATTACAAAAGGCAAATTGTATGACTTTAAAGGGTGGAGCGTCTCTAGATCTGAAAGCAGTTGATCCGAAGCCCTTCCGATGGATCCTGGACATCACGTGGCTGAACATAGTTGAGCTGAGCAAGCTGCCGCCCTTCAAGGATCTTCTCCAACGCATCACTGACAACGAAAGGGAGTGGCGCGTCTGGTTTGAAAAGGAAAAGCCTGAAGAGGCAAGACGAAACTTATATATTTATTAATATAATTATGTATTATGGTATTTTTAATTAGGATCTTATTGAATAAAAGTTATTCAGGAAAATTGAACAAAATGCAAATTTTCATTATAACTCTGGAATATCCACACCCTCGTTTAGCAGGGCCTCACGATTCTACTTAATTGTAAAATAACTTGGGTAATATTACGACGAGGTAGGTATTGCGGAATCTAATTCAAATTATCCTTCCGTTTTCATAGCTCCAGGCTTCAAACCGAAAACTTGCAACTATCGATTATTCGTTGCCCTTCAAATATTATTAGTATTTTCAGCCACACATCGTAATTTCCAAAATAAGGTAACGAAATGGGAGAAGAATGTCGAAGTTATGTACCTTATTCCACATAAAATTGAATTTTGAATTCGCTATTGCAGTAGGCTTAAAATTCTTAATTTATATATATATATATATATATATTAGTATAGGTTGGCAGAATTTCTTCTTTCAAGCAGGTTTCATTGAAGACCAGAGAATTTGTTTTATTCGCAATTTTCTTATTAGTTTTTTCAATATATCGAACTATATTTTTAGCTGTCTCTTATACACATCTAGATGTGTATAAGAGACAGGCANGAAATATTTATTGTTTGTAAGTTGAGTTGTTTGTGTGTCTGTAGCCTGGTACTGCAGGAAATTACATAAAGTCTATTCAAGCGCATGGCTACAATATTCAACGCGTCGGTGTACTAAACGAATCTGAAATTTCATTCCTAAATTGCGGAACTCCCAGCTACCGCAAAAACATGGATTATATATATATATATATATATATATATAATCCATGTTTTTGCGGTAGCTGGGAGTTCCGCAATTTAGGAATGAAATTTCAGATTCGTTTAGTACACCGACGCGTTGAATATTGTAGCCATGCGCTTGAATAGACTTTATGTAATTTCCTGCAGTACCAGGCTACAGACACACAAACAACTCAACTTACAAACAATAAATATTTCCAAAATATAAGTAGATTGCGGTATATTATAATGAACAATTTTTACACTAGGTATTTTTCGATCGAATTTTAATTGTGTAAAACGCGTACACTTCAATTACAAGAATTCTTTAACAGGACTCTAGAGGAAAAATTTCCTATAAGCGAAAACAGCGATAGAAAAGTTGCATGTTTGTAGCTATCCGGCGATGGTCTGGAAATTTTACCACAAAGCAGCTTCTGCTGCCTCTAAAAACATGATATGCAGAAACTAAACTTGGCTATTTTCAGGAAGAACTGCCATGCGGGTACTCGAAATCGCTGGACATGTTACGACAGCTGCTGCTTGTCCGGTCCTGGTGTCCGGACAGGACACTTTCTCAGTCTAAAAGATACATCAGAAGTAAGCTCGCCGATTCTGTTTCTTGATTTCATGTGGCTTATTACCTTCATGAACCTCAGGGTGGCCCAGTGGTTAAAGTTCAGAGTACCAGGATTGACGCAGAGAGGCGCGGGTTCCATCCCAGCTCTGTGCGCCAGTTTCTGGTCAGAATCGGCGAGGAGGTCGGGCGGTTAAGCAAAGCAGAATTGTAGCAGTGAGTTGCGAGTTCGAGACCGCAAAATACTGTGAATGTTCTGTGATGTTAAGAATCGGCGACAGGCCTACGGCCTAATAAACGCTGAAACCGCTATTTTTATTTCATCTCGACCTAAATTGTCAGTTAAGGATGATAAATCGATACATGAAGAGAAGTTGGTATAGTCAGAAAGATCGGTTTGTGATTCAAGGACGAACAATCGTTTGAGAACGAGTAGTCGGTTTAGGAAGAGAAGACAGTTTAGAATTACAGCGGTAAAAAAATTTAAACAGAGGGTTTACTGAAACGTTTTTGTTTTTGTACTCAAACGTTACTGAATCGCATGAACCCTTGTAAAATTTACATTTAGTTTTGCTAACCGTGATCTAAAAAGTCTTAATATTTTAGTATCAGTCATAATAATAATATTAATAAAATACAGTTTCTTACAATTGCAGAGACATGATGACATTGTATCATTAGAAATTTTAAGTACGATATTTTTTCCCCACTTTTTAATCTCATAAACTTTTTGACGCATATTGAAGAAAGAAAATTATTTTTCACCTTTTCAGAAGCTTTAGGGGAGCAGTTCGCCGACCCCGTGGTCCTGGACCTGGAGGCCACCTGGGAGGAGAGTGACCGCCGGACGCCCATGATCTGCTTGCTGTCGCAGGGCTCTGACCCGACGCTGCAGATCGAGGCTTTGGCCAAGAGCCGAGAAATGGGTAAGTCTTTGAATTGTAGATACTAATAATGCGGTATAAGGTTAAAGTGTATGGCTTTCATCGTGAAGGTAGTGTTGCGTGTGAGAGTTAAAATTCGAATGACTAACCTACCGCAACTTAGCAATATCATTTAGCTGTTAGATGTGATATTCGAGTGAAGTAAACTGAAATATAGATAGTATTTATAATATAACATTTTTTCGCTCGATTTTCGGTTTTTGCCATACTGTTGTATTTTATTTTGGCTTCAAAGCAATTCGTATTTTATTATGGGACGAATAATTACATCAAAATAAATTTGATTTCATATATAATATTTTTCGTCAGAACTGCGCACAATTTCCATGGGACAAGGCCAGGAAGGTCACGCTCGAAGGTTGCTGCAGGAGGCCATGATCAACGGTCGCTGGCTGCTGCTGCAGAACTGTCACCTCAACCTCTCGTTCTGCCTCGAGATTCTCGACTTCATCTCCGACACTGAGATCGTCCACACGAGTTTCCGGCTCTGGCTTACCACTGAATACCACCGCAACTTCCCCATCGGCCTACTGCAGGTTCATTATGTGCTTTTTGTATACAATACGGGTATATTATTCTATATATTTTACTATATTTCATGTCATAAATGGTTCTTATTCTCTTATTTTTTTTTCGTCGACATTTTCAAATGATGCGCATTGAAATATATAGTTTGTTTTCCTTTTCAATTTTTGAGGATCTTTAATTCTTTCATGTGCATGTGCTAAGCCGCCACAATGCAGTTTGAATTTAACGTTTTTTTAAGTGAATTTTTGTATTCCAGATCACAATAAAAAATCAAGAGAAAACCATTATTTATGCATCGGGTACAAATATTAAATTTCGTTCTGCTCGTCATGCATGATAATCAACCGCCTGCATGAAAGTCAGGTAATGAGTCTATAATAAGCGCAACTTAAACTATGAATTTTCTAATCTTTAAAATCTACGAATAATTTCAGGTCTCCATCAAGTTCACGAACGAGCCTCCCCAGGGCATCAGAGCCAGTCTGCAGCGCACGTACTCTGATGTTTCCCAGGTGCGCCTCATTGATTTTTTCTATTACTTCGCATTAGTAAATTCTTCGGGAACAATTAAAGCCGATTCCGTTACCAAAAAAATGACGAAAAATATTCCTTTACTGTCGAATATTTGCCTTCACATTCTGACATCTGTAAAAATTCAATATTAAATGCTCGATTTCACTAACAGTTATGCATCTAATATTCGTAAACTTGAAACACGAAACATTGCTTTGAGTTGAGTTCTGGCAGTGATCGAGGACGCACGTAGTGTTTGCGGGTCCCAACTTTCTCACTTCTTACTATGCCGGTTGACTTATCTCGCGAATTTTGTACCGAAACGATTTCAGTGAAAGGTTCAATGTTAGTGCAGTTCAATCAAAATTGTGCGAATAGTGAGAAAAACGGCTAGTACAAGTGTTTTATTCCCGACAAATTCTAGTGCGTGAAACGAGGGCAAGTTTTTGAAAACCCTCGGCGACTGCCGGTAACCCGAGAACAATCGCTGCCTTGACTGCGCTCAGGCCTCGCCTTCCTATACCCTCCCCACCCTCTTGGCCCCTACACCTCCCCCTCTCCACCCGCCTTGCGCGTTTGATACCTTGATTCCTCCACCACACCTCTGTGTTTCCCTCGCCAGCTGCAGCTCAGCTGTTTTTCCAGCCTTAATTTTCGAGGGAACTTTACTATACTCAACTCAACTCAGTCGTATGTTTCTCCGTCCTTTTTCTGTATTTTTCTCCGTTCAAGAGATCTAGTTCGTGCATTTAATAATGGCTGGACAGAAAATAAAAAAGATAGTCGAAAAGCCCTCAACC